AGATAAGAAACAAGTTAATAATTATAGACCAATCTCCTTATTGAGCAATTTTGCTAAAATATTTAAGAAAATAATTAAAAAAAGACTCATATAATTTCTAGAAAACCACAAACTTCTATAAAAAAACCAATTTGGTTTTAGACCTGGTATAGGTACGGAAAATGCCTTATTTAGCACAACTGAATTTATTTATAACGAACTAGACAGCAGTAACAAGATCTTAGCTGTGTTCTTGGACTTAGCCAAAGCATTCGATACGGTTAATCACGAAATTTTGCTCCAAATCATACCCTCTTTCGGAATTGATAAAGTTAGTATATCTTGGTTCAAAAGCTATCTTTATAACAGGAGACAATTTGTTAACTTGTTTGTTTCTTGATTAAACCTGATATTTAAAGCAACAATCATATTGTCTAAAGTAGTATAATAAACTTTTCTCATTTCATCTTCTTTCGTATTAAATATATGTTGTGTGTGTGTGTGACTTGAGCTATCTATTTTTGTAGAAATTCTTCTGTGTCTCATAACTAAAATATCAATTTTATTATCATCACAAAATTTGACAGAATTTTTGTATAAATTATCAAACTATGAATTGTTGTTTCATTCAATCAAGTAATTTTTTTAAAGCTTCAACAAGATGCATTGCCGTTAACAAATTTATATCAGGTGATTGTAAATATGAACTGGTTTTCAATATTAAAGAAAGGATGGGATCTAGCATTTCTAAGGCAAATATAAACTCAAAACATTGAATATACTTTATATTATCTACTCTAGGGTACAACATATTTTTAGGGCTATGGATGTTTTAAAAAATTATTCATTTTTAGAATTATTTTTGAAATTATGTTAATTTTTAATTAATTTTTTATATTATAAAAAACTTTTAATATTGCATGAAAATGACACTCATAGTAAAAAAAAATTTAATTTGCCAATTTAGGTTAATAAAAACTCCGTAGCCCTATTTATGGTATGTACCAATAACTTAACCTAATTATTTAAACATTCAATTAAGATTAACTATTAATGTGATCACTGATCATCAACAATTTTTAAAATGTAGAAGAAGTTAGTTGGTCTTGATGCTGTGCTGTTTTTTTTTATCAGAATGCAACAAAAAAAAAAAAAAAAATTATTTATAGAATTGATGTATTCTATACAAAAAAAAAATGTATATATACTTATTAAGTTATTGGGTGAGATGTACTATGCTGAGATTAACCAAAATAACAATTCGTATTTTTCCATCCAATCTTGTTATAGATATTTGAATTAAAAGTTAGTACTACTAAATGCAATTGAAATTTAAAAGAAAACAAAATTAATTTCTTAAAAATAAACAAAAATTATGATAAACATCAAATTATTTATTTTAAAAAATATTCATACTTACATAATATATACCTATATTATATATAATATTAATCGTTATAACGATTCTTGTAAATATTGATTCTATTATATTTATGTCATTTCCTACTCCGTATAATACATTTTTTTCAAGTACCATTTGTACACAAGGTTGAAAAAATTGAATTCGTAAAGGGAAATGTATAAGTTACTGCACAATATTCAAGCATTGTCCGAAAACCATTGTTAAATAAATTCATGACTTGGAGCTGACCTTCATATTTGTTGTAGATAAATACTTCCCAGAAGTCAAATAGAATTTTGTATTTTTGCACATACCTACGACCTGTTCCTGGTTAAGGGAGAGGGCAAAGGGGGTAGCTATCACGGGCAGCACAATTTTAGGGAGGGCAATTTTTTTACGGTGTAAACAAAAGTTTTGAAATTTTCTAATGTATATACTAGTTTTTAGGAAAAATTATTAATTTATTATTGAAAAATATTAATGACAATTTTATCAAATTATAATTGTAATATTATATTTTATTAAACCGCTGAGTTATTTTGTCAGTGGATGTTCAGCGTATTAACGGTAAAACCATATTATTATTAATGCGGTCGGACCCACGCATTTTTATTTTCGTTACACTGAAATACAATTGTGTTTGTTGTATTTCTTATATATCTCTATGTGTGTATTATAATTTATAACCATCAGATTATTAAATTCATAGATAATAAAGAATTCTTTATTATCTATGATTAAATTTGATATTAATAGTTTCAAATAATTTATTTACACACTACCAAGCAATTGTTTTTGTTATACTCGTAACTCTCTCTCTCGAGTCTCGTGGTCATAGTTGTCGTCGTTGTCGAGTTCGATTCACGAATCACGATTGATTGAAAAACAAAAGTGCGTAATATTTTAATTTCAATCAATATTAGAGGAAATTGCATTAAAATGCATATATTGAAATTAATTATTTGTTTGATTTTTTTTAAAATGTGGAAGGGATTGACGATGATATTTTACAAGAAAAATCAAAGTAATTATTAAATATTTATAGTGAAGATTTAGAACCGGACCTTGAGAATGAGATTATATAATTTCGAAGAATAATGAAATATTTTTCAGAAGATGAAAAATTATTTATTGACAGTTTTTTTGAAGCATCAAAACTATTTATATATTTTTTTTATTTTTTATTTATTAATCGTCATAAATTATATAATACATACTGTAGTATTAGGCAATTTAGATTCATGTCAAATGAAATATTAAAATAACTAAAATAAACGTGTATTCATGTTGCAATAGAAAAAAAGCTTATCATAACATTTTAGTGTATAAAAAGATAAATGTAAAACATTTTTTATACTATGTTCAAATTAGCATGTATTATTTTCACACTGTCATTAGTTTACGAAAATATATCACACTAGATGATGATTATAATGTAAAATATGAGGGCATTGCAAATTTACAAATTAGCGTGTAAGCAATATGTGTAATTAGGTTAAGCTAAATATATATAAGAGAGAAGACAAAAACCAATAAAGGAGTTCTTCTATACCTAGTGGTCGTGTGACTTGGCCACGATAGAAAGCTTGTTAACTTTTTTTCTTTAAGTGTTGCCTTAATTTCTATATGTGTTTTTTTTTTTTTTTTGTGTCTATATGTTGTTACTTATTGAGTATACATAAGTAAAATATATAGGTACATATACAAATATATATTTTGGTTTGTGGAGAGGAAGGTTGAATGGCGGAATTTTAAAATCTGCCCCAATGCGACAAATTTGTTAACCCAGCACTGCCTATGACTTATATTGTTTACTTATCTCAATGAAAGAGAATTTATTTTTTAAATGATATCATTTTCAAGAGACAAACGATAATTACTATTGCAACTGTATTGATATATCAATTCAATATCTAAGGATAGTATATAAACTAATCATATTTATTTCTCAGTAGACACTCATATATTTATGACTGTTATAAATATTACAACAAAATATTTTTGTACTAGTGACAATTAAGAAGACATTTTTAGTATTAATTTTGTTTCTATTTCTGATCTTATTTATTTATATTACAATAAAAATTGTTTTTAAATGAATTAAAATAATGTAGGTCATAAATTAACAGATCTAGGTAAAATACTTTATGATAAAAATATTCCCAAGTATGTATTCGGAATATTTCACAAAAAATATTCTAAATATTTTTTTTTTAGTAGATTTAGATTTAAAAAAAAAAAATGTAATACAATATCAATCAATATAACGATTGGAAACCGTTTATTTCATCAGCATATTTTATAAATTTAAAAAAAATAAATAATAAACATTACCTATAATAATATATTTATTAATATTATACAACTACTTTATGCCAATATCAAATTTTCAATTGATACTGATTAAATAGTAATAATAAAAAAAGTTACTTTGATAAAACACAATAATAATAATAATAAAAAAAAAACTATCAATTAATAGCAATAATAGTGAATTATAATATGATTAATACCACTATAAAAAGTAATATAATAGTCAACTATTTTAAGCTAATGGTCAAGTTGCTGCCGTGGCTTAAATAATAATAAAAATAAAAAATACAACATTGTGATGAATATATTTTATAATATTAATTAAAACTGTATATTTATTATTTATAAAAAAAAAAAAAAATGGAAAAATAAATAATGCCAGGAATATAAATAATTATTTGCAATCAGCGTCCAAACATTTTTATGTTATGTCTAAACCAATAAAATTCAAAACAAAATAATAACCTATACAAAAAAAAAAATATATAGTTTATTACTATATTAATATTTAAATATACTTATAGTAGGTGCTATTAATAATTCAAGTAATTCTTCCAATTAATTTAACCAAAAATATATTATCTACCATACTAATAAATTTAACGATTAAACTACTTTTAATTATTGTAATTATTGTTGTGTCTGATTAATTTATAGCTTATCATATAACATAGGTACAAAATATAACTTTATTTTATTCAATTCAGGTATCTATATCTATATTAAAATAGGTTTTTGCGTCAGAAAAAAAAAATGCAAAAATATTGAAAATCGTTAGGTACTCAAGTTTATTTATATACCAATCATTCAATCATAACTTACAAACCATAATTAAATATACCTATAAATACATTTTTTAACATAATTAAATATTGTTGTGGCTAGGAAGTAGGTTTTCGAAATACTATCCAAGTCTGTAAATTAATAATGATTTATTTTGTAAGATTTTTTTAAAGGGTTTTGTGTAGGCAATTTAAAATAAATGTTAAATTATGTGTTTATTACCTAACCATGTGTCTTACTATAGATTGAAGAGTTTTTAATTGATCAATATCATTTTTTTTAACCGTACACAAAATGTAGTGCTACTTTATTGGTTATTAAACCTTAAATTTCTAAAAAACCTAATACTACTCTAATAATAAAAACTAAGTTGCTTCTTTTCGTTTTTCCTTATTTTTCCACAATCAAAATCGAAATTAAATTAATAATAAAGACAGATTTTAATTATAAGAGTAAAAAAATAAATAAAATTTAGTGTAAACACGTTATATTTATTTTATAAAAATATAATATTTATTCAGTCATGAATTCTTTAACAATTTTTAACAAAATATAGGAAAAATAAACAGTATTTTATTTAAGTAAAAACTATTTGAAATACCATGACATTTGACAAATCGGTTTACATTGTATAGAATAGGAATTACCATGTAAAACGATCCAATCGGCCAGTTTTGTCCATGGTAGAAGTAAACGGATGATACAAAAATACCCACATAATAACAAAATTACACATTTGGTATGTAATAAATTCAAAAATTGCTGCTTTAAAAGTATTACTATTCGTAATATTTCTGTTACTATGAAGTTTATACATAAGATAAGGTACTACAAAATAGCGAGGCTCTAACAAATATTGAGGACAAAGTACAAGTGGTGTAACTATCCAAAATGCTAACTTATAAGCAATAGATGAACGTATTAACATTGTATCTAAATAGTATAGGCCACATGCATATAGCGGCACCGGTAAATACCTTAGAAATACAGGTTTACCAGGACTGAACAGTAGTCTCCACGCATAGAATGTATAATGCCTATTATCAGCTAATAAATATGGATGGGCTATAGTGTTGAAGTATACTAATCCGGAAATTAATGTTGCCAAAGAAATTAATACCACTATAGAAATATTCTTTTGAAGTTCAAAGAAGATTATAGTGGATTGTTTAACAAATGAGTTAGTTATTTGTCTATTAAAATAGTATTGTGATAGTATCCACGGCAAAGAAAAAGTTAATGCAAAAATCACAAAATAACATAACTGCATAGGATGAAAACGAGGTATGTGTGCACTTCGATCACCAACAACTAAGTCACCTTTGTTTATGAACACTACAAACAATGCAAATGATCCAATAACTATTAAATTTGAGTAAGTTGAAAGCCAACATTTCTTCATTAAGTTGAATAAAATGTTGAATCTATTACTTTGTTTAACTGTACAACATTTGTATAATTCGGTGATGCATGCCTGTAAATAAATTAAATTATAATTATTTTTGTCATTTTTAGTTTTATTATAAGAAAACTCACTCGGATGTAGGAAAATGTACAACCACTATTTTTCACAGCAGGGAAACATTGTTCAGTACAATGACATACATCTATGATAGTTGCAAACACTAACCATGCAATGTTTGTTTGACGACACAAGACACAAAATCCACCCAATCCAATTTTAAGCCATGAACTTTTTTTACTATTCAGATGACTAGAATACCATAGAAAAACAGATGCTGTAGCCCAAGCATCTGTATAATAGAGCATCGAGTACGGGGCATAAATAACTGGGAATGTTGCAACACTCACTGATAAAATTATATATGACCATTCTCCAATTAATGATTTCTTACGTTCGTTCTTTAACAAATAATATTATAATCAATGAATTACAAACTTTTACATGTACAAGGTGATAAAAAATGAAGTGATTAAACAAAACTATAGTACTATAAATTTATGAGTACTAGAAAATTTAAATACTAATTTTACTCTGTAATGCACATTTCTTTGATCGTTAAACTTGTTATACTGTAAAAATAATTATATAATTTAAATTATAACAAAAAATTACTTCCTGAAATATTTGTTGGTCAAAACTTTACAAAACATTTTTTACTATTATACAAATGTTTAACATTTTGGCAACAATTAAAATAATAGGTAATAAAATTAGTATTGCATTTTACTATATCAAAATTATGATTAAAACTCACTTGTAATAGTAATTGTTGACAACGATGATATGCATAATACAAACATGATGGAGCTCCTATTGCATTCACAGCTCGCAATGCAATCAATGAGCATGCATCATAATTGTGAAGGAAATTGTTATCCAAAATACCAATCATTGATAATACTGAATTATAAATCTGTACACCAGGTACTAACACAATAGCTGACAATAAATACAATCCAGGCAGTGTAGTAATTTTTGGATCCCACTGTAAAAAAGAAAAAACAGTTTAATTTATTAACAACAGTACTTGATTAACAATGTCTTTAGTTGAGTTTTTATGAATATTTTTTTAATTGACTATTAGTAGATACCTATAGACTAATTCAGGACAGGAACTGTAAATGTTATACTGGTTCTTATAAAACAAATAATGAGATTTCACATTGTTGACAGAATCACATTTAATTATATTGTTGACCTGATAAAATTACATCAGTTATAAATTTTATCGTTAATGGACTGTATGAAATAAAGGAATAAAATATAAAATATAAATAATTAATTTGATGTTTATTAATAAGTCTTTTATTTTAAGTGCGGAGTCAGCACCTTTACAATTTAGAATACTTTTCCCGACTGAATATAATAAAATCAAAGGCCCGTCGGTACACTAGACCGGTTAGGCCGGTAATGATAACGACGCGGAACACAATCGATATCTATAGGTAACATATATAAATCAAGTCACTGTGTTATAACTTGTATGTATTAAAACTGATTAAAACAAAAACAAAATGTATACTTTTGAAAAGTATAGAGTACATTTAATATATATGTATATATATAAATGAAAATCAATACCTGTAAGAAAGAATATGATTTATAACTAGCAAAGGTATAACTTGGAAATTTATTAGGGGGGGGAACAAAAATATAATTACATATTTAAAAAAAAGGGTGTCTGAGGCTAAACACAGCTTTACTACCTACATATTTTTATATAAAATTATTAATTTTCTAACATTATGTTAGATAAGCGAAAACTTAAAATTAAGATTTAAAAAAAAAAAAAATGTTATAGTAATGTTTTATAGTTTTGTACTTATTTTAAAACAAGGTATGTTAAATATCAGAGGGGACACTGTCCCTCCTTATTTTTTCTAGGGAGCAATTGCCCCCTTTGCCCCAACAGTTTATGCCTATGATAACTAGGAAATGTTAATCCTCTAGAATAAAAATAATTATCGGCTATTTTATAGTGATATAAATCATATTTTATTTAATAATTAAATTAAATAACAAAATAAAAATATTCTATACTTGAAGTTTAATTTGTAAGCAATTTAAGTACCTATTCATCATTATTCAAAATGTAATCTACAATATTATTCAATAAATACAAATTATCACAAATATTAAACTAAACATAATAAATTGTACCTATACATTTTAGAACGCAAAAAAACATTCATAACACCTTATATGGAAATATTTTTTCTATAGTAACAATAGGCAATTGCAAATACCTATTTATTACTATCCAATTTTTGTAGACACATTAAATATGTTAGAAATATCAATAAACATGAAGAAATAAAGATTTGAAAATCATTGCAATATAGTACATTATAAAATCGACATTTGTAGTATGGCTAAATGTATATATCATACATTTATCATATGGGCTTACGAGACAATAAATTAAAGAAAATCACAGAATGGAAGAGTGTGATCATATGGACACAGGACTTTACAGATGACACGTAGTAGTCAGACGACATCTTACGGTTGGCTGTTCGAAAACACACAAGAACACAGTGTCCAACGGTTCGATGAACTACCTCAGACTGCGCACTGGGTATCAATGCAAAAAAATGAGTTGATTGAGTTAATAGAAAAAGAATAGAAAAGCACACCAACCTGATGAAATGCTGCTTGGCAATAACGGCGAGCTTGAGGCACATGGAACTCTTCGTCAATGTAATACTCGTCGGAACGGAATAACGGCTGCACGAAATACCGCAATATAGAGTACGAGACGGCTGACAGGAGGAAGACGGGCAATGTCGCCATTAAGCCGGTGCACGGTTTCGCGCCATCGTCGCGCATTTGCCGTTTTTTTAGGTTCCGCCGTGCCATCGTTGTTGGGTCGGCTGCAGCTCCTGTGCAATCGGACAACAGTCACCCACCAGCGGATATGAAGATATTACGATACGCACGTTTCACTGCACAACACCGTGGTCGTCGTTCGCGCTGCGACATTATGCAAACCGACGCGAACACCGTGCGGCACACTTCGAACGCGGCGACACGATAACAGGCGCTTGATAAGAACGCGCAAACTGATAACGCCGAGAGCGACGATCGATAACACACGGGTACTGGCAACTGGTGCCATAGATAATAAAGAATTTATTACTAGTTTATGGCCATAAGGAATTGAATATTGTTTCCAATTTTTTAATATTTTCGCTGTTGACTCTGAATTTTTAATGTAATTAAGTCGATAGTTTACACTAGCTTTCCAGTTTTTTTCAATATCAGGAAATGGACTGTTGTCATGTTTCAATTCATCCAATATATAATCTATTTCATTTTCTGGTACTACAAATAATATAGACATTATAATATATATTATGTATATTTTAATTTATAAATTAAATATTTTACCAAATGTCTTCTCAGTACAACTCTCTTTCTCTTGATTTCTGCTACCAGTTTTATTTTTTTCTAATTTAGTTGTAGTATGAATTAACCCAGTATTTTTTAGATTTCTCATTGAGTTATTATACTTGGCATACAATTTGCCTTTTGGGTTTTTATTACATCCAATTTTCATGAAATAGGTATCCTGTAGATTTTAATTTTGGTAATTATTATTATTATGATAGCAATAAATAACAAATTAAATTACCTTAATTTCAGAATTAAACATTGCCACTATTTGATCTGCTATAGATTCAGCCAAGCTTACAGACATTTGTATGCGCTGTGATAGTATATGCCCAATAAGTATGTCGACCAATGTTGATCTAATACCATCATTTAGCTTATTATTCTGTCTATAATAGTCCAATATTAAAGAACCTTGTGTTGATGAATTTAGAATTACATCAACCTTTAATTCTTGGCTTGATTTAAAAGATTTAAGAGGAGGTTCTAAATTTGGTTTGTTTATTGATGTTTCAGCAGACTCTGTTATTTTATTTATATCAACAATATTTAAACTGATTTTCCATTTTTCTAGTTCAGATTCAAATTTTACTAGGATGCCTAATGGATATGTTGATAATAATTTATCAACATGTCTAGTTTTTAAAAGCCGAAGAATTTTCATATCAATTAGTTGATCTATACAAAAAAAATATATTTATAGGATAATGAGTGATTAAGTGTTAATCTAATGTTAATTTTGTGGTATACTTATCTTACCAATACAAGTTTGATATACACATGTTAATCCCCAATCTTCTAATACTTTCTTCAATTTTGGTAAATCTTCAGCTGGGTAATGCAATTCTGACATCTGAGTGGAACTGTTTTGAAGATATATATCAGGGTTCATAATTTCTACTGCTTCAGTGGGTGGCTAAGGTTTTAACAATACCATTAAACATTACTATTACAGAATATAAGTAACTCGATAAATAAAAAAAAGCATCATTTTTAAAAAGTAATTTATTAAAAAAAATTATAGTACTTACAAAAAAAAGAAGCATAATTACAATTAATTGTAAAAAAAGCATCATTTTTAAAAATAAATTTATTAAAAAAAATTACAGTACTTACAGTACTGGAAGGTACTTGAAGCATATGTAAAAATGAGTCACTTATATGTGGTGTGTATTCCATTTCTTTATACCTTATAAATACTCTAATACATTTAAAAAAATATATATTTAATGATATAATTTAATAATATTTATACATATAAAATAGTGAACATAACTTTAAATAATTGACAATTTATTAAGTTAGTAGAATTCTTTCAAACGTATCATTTTTTTGACCTGAAGAAACTGTTGTTACATTTATAGGAGGCCCACTAAATTCATTTATTTTAAAAATAAAACAACCATTCGATTCTTCCTCACTATTACTTACAATAAACGATTCAAGATGTGAACTAAATCCATTTAACAAAATTTTTTTGGTTATAATATAGAAAATATTGTCTGGATTATTATTTATTGTAATAAGTTCAAATATTTTAAATAAGCTCATTTCATCACAATGCTTTGTTAAATAATATCCAACCTTGTATAAAATTCCATCATACCTCAATTCATTATAACATGTATATTGTAATGAAGTTAAATTGAGCTTATTGTTAATAATATCAGTATATTTTGTTAAAACCTTATGTTTATCTTTGAAAATAATTTTTTTATCTAAGTCTTTCATTAAGTTATAAGCAAATTTAAACTGGTACTTTTTTGCTAATGTCAAGGTAATATTTTTTCTAGAAGTGGTTGATCTTGCATACATCTTTAATTCTTTGTGTTTACCTTCAAAACGAAAGAACCAGTAATGCCTAGGAGGACCAGATTTTTGAATTATTGTTGGATAATGGACTAAAAAATAGTGTTTTGGTTTTAAATTATCATTGAAAAGAGTTAAGTACAACAAATTGTGTTGGGAAATTAATTGTTTCAGATATAGTATTGCGTTTTCAGTAAAAGTGTATGATAACAGAATATCTGTAATTTTAAGTAATAACAGAAACAGTTCCCAAACTTCATCAGATTCAGGTATTAAATCTCCTATTATTAAAGGAAAAAAGTGCATGAAAGTCATGACTTCCCTGGCTGACATTTTTAAATGATTTTTTTTCAAATGATGAGCTGTTATAGGAGGTGAAATATTACCTATCTCTATCTGTCCATAATTAAAATAGAAATAAAATAGACATGAAAAATACCCTCTTGTGTTACAATATCTATTCCTTCCTTTTCAAGCATATTAATTTCATTTACCAAACCATGTAAACATTGATCATTTCCAAATGACTTAAGATCAACATGCTTTATTAATGCAGCTAAATATATATAAGATAATTTTGAACAATTATCTTCTAGAGGAAAGCTATAATAAAATGCAGAAACAGAATGAAAATTAGCATGTGAACCTAAAGGATTATTGATTTCAAATTCATCTGTGTATAAAAAAAAAGGAATACATATTTTGTTATGTTGAAACCCTTTATTTTTCCAGAGATTTCCTTGGACAAAATTTTCCATTGATATACTTTCATTATTTTGATAGAAATTTAATTTAGTATACTGTTTTTTAAAATTATCACCTTGTTCAAAATATTTTTTAAATTGAAACTTTAAAGGTAAAAGAGCTCCTGTAGTATTTTTTTCATTATATACACTTTCACCAATATGTTGAACAGGACAAATTTCTTTGTTTATATTAAATTGATAAATATTACTTAAAAAATCATTTTTTTTGAGCCAATTTATTAAACAATATTCAGAATTACAATGCTGAAAAATATTTTCTATAACTGAAGTTACTCTATGGAATTTACCACGTGTAATAGGTTCTTTAATTTCGTTGTCAATTACTGCTTTTAACATGGATACAACTGGAGCAATAATTGAGTCTAGTATTCCAGTTTGAATTGATATAATATCCACTCTAGTAAAATTGTTACTGTTGTGTAAACTAACTATAAACTCAATAGCAGATTTATATATGGCTTCACTAAATAGATCAAGATTAAATGGAATTTTATTAACAGGAGTTTCAGTTAAAAGGTTATGGCTATCAACACTTTCTGTACTTTGAAGTAATAGTGGAGAGTCATTAGAAAATGATTGTACTGGTTTTAGTTCTAATAGAGGTGTTACATGCTTTCTATGAAGGTGTCTTTTAAAAGTAGCTAAGTTAAGAAAAGACTGTGTACAAGTTTCTTCACAGCATGTATAATTGCTATCAAATTTTAACAAATGGAAAATTTTAAAATGATACACTAACGATATCCAACTATCAGTTTTAAATTTACATACATAACAAATAATTTTTAAATATTACAGTAATTGACAATTATATCAATAATCCAAACTTACAAACAAATTGTTGACTTAAAGGAAACTTATTTCACAAAACTGCTTTAGGATAGTAACAGGATAGCTGCTCTCCTGGTAGGTAGATAGGTAGGTACTGATCATTGGATGATATGAAATACTGAACTTGAATTGTCATAAGAATATAAGATTTTTGTTTAAAATACCTTTAAATATAAAATTAATCCATGTTAATTTTAAAAATTAAGTCTTATATCAGAACATTATAATTTATAACAAAATAGTGGTGCATACTATAACTAAAACATTATTAAGATACTAACTCTTGGAAAAACATATATCTATAAAGGTCTTTAGTAAAGTCTAATTGCACCACTGACAATAAAAGTAAAACAAAAATGTATAGACTTGCCAGTAAGCATATAATATCAGTTTATAAATAATAAGTCGAGTATATGATCTTGATGTTGACTGCAATATTAGAAAAAAACACTACAGATCACAGAAAATAATATAACAAAGCCTAATACACAATGTTGTTGATATTCAATAGGCCAAATAGATACGCGTGTATGCTGTGTGCTAAGTTCCGTACAGCAATATTTAACTAGTTATAAACTGTTAACTTATAAAGCTAAAAAGAAAACCATGGAAAAAACTTTAACGCGTGGTAAAGTATTGGCAGCTATAGCTATATATATGTTACCGGAAATGTTGACAATTTAGGAAATGACGACAATTCCTAGTAAATGTTGACAATTCCTAAAAGCAGAAGGCAATGTTATCATCGCCTAGGAATTGTCGTCATTTCCGTAGTTTATTAGGCAATGTTATCAATAGGGCCCGGAATTTGATGATCTAAAAAATAAAAATACATAAAAAAAAATGCATAAAATGACATTTATTAATTTTTTTTTAAATGATTGTATATTTTACTGTAAAAATTGATAAATATTGTTTTGATACAAATTATAATTATTATAAATTAATTAAATAAAACTATATATTATAGTCATTTACACTCTATATAGTAGACACTATCGAACTAATAATAATGCTGTCAAACTCAAATTAAATGAGAAACGGAGACACATGGGTATATAAAATAAACTTATAAAATTATTTTGTGTATCAGTGCGGAAACATGAAATTATATCAAACACGGATTTATGTCGATTGCGATAACCGCAAGGTAAGGTTAACCGAGATCTAAGGCTCGGGCCACACGGTGCGTTGCTGCCGCATGCGGTGAAATAAATTGCGGTGGCACCGCAATAACATATTCGGCCACACGATGCGGTGTGGCAGCATGCGATAAGATATTTTTAAAATTTTAAATATTAGGCAAACATAGGCAAACGAAATTTCGATCACTTTCCTACTCGGTGTTATATTGAAATGTTTGTTTTGTCAACGCTTTATTATGTCAAGTAAAACTTTATTGCAAGTTCTGTGTGTGGCAGAAGCAGCTGGAGAGCTGAATAGTCTCGCTCCACCAGAACGAAGATACTGGGTCCATCCAATGAACTCCGACCGTGAAAAAAAAAAAAAAATTTACAGCTTTTTATGAAAATAGAACATCCAATAGAAAATATGATGAACTTAATGTTGGAACTACAGTACGTCTGAGTATTCCAGATGTAGATCGTGCTCGTAGATCACCAAGAAATGTATTAGCGGTTGTAACAGAAGTTAAGGACGATTTATATAAGCTATGTAAGAAATACACTAGTATTTTTATTAACGTCTTAATCATCTTCATATTCAAACTCGTGCGTTAAAAATTAATTTTTTTTTTTAAATTGTAGGCACTGAAAGTGGATTTTTAAAACACATGTACACAAGATCAGAAATAAATCCTTGCAAAGCAAATTTATTGGATCTAAGTACTGTTTTAAAATCGGCAGGTCAAGCAGAAAAACCGTTATCACTTCGGGAGGCAGCTACTGTAAATAGTATTTCAGGGGCACAAGGATACACCCGATGTCAATGTAAGACAAAATGCAAGACGAACACGTGTGCTTGCAGATCGGCATCTAGAACTTGTAATTCTAAATGTCATGGAAGTTTGCATTGTGAAAATAAAAATAAGTAACTACGTTGCAAATCATAAAAAAATTTTAAAAAGCATAAATTACACAAATTAAAATGTTAAAAAAATACTTGTTTATTTATTGATTATTTATTAAGGTGATATTAGATTAATTGATAATTATTTTTGATAAAAGTAATATTTAAATAAGTCAGATAAGTAAATAAGTCAGACATAAAAAATGTGGCATCTTTGCCTACTATCGTTAGGAAATGATAACATATACTAGGCGATGATAACATTGCCTTCCGCTTTTAGGAATTGTCAACATTTACTAGGAATTGTCATCATTTCCTAAATGTCAACAATGCCGGTAACATATATATATATATATATATATATATATATATATAAATATATATTTATATAGCTAGATATATATGTACTACGGGTACCCGCGAGAGAACGCTAGTCACTACTAGGCGGCAACAAAAATTTATAATGGTCGATGGTTAATTTGATAATATAATTGTCATGATGATAATGTCGCTGAAGAACCTCGGATATTTCGGAAAACCCGTAGTTATAAATAGTTATGAACTTCGTTATAAATACAAAATAATATAACAAAAACGATAATATTGGTAATGTCATTTTAATAATATATTATCATTTACATATATCTTTTGCCAACAACATTGATAATAAAGATATTCATCATGATGAAACAATTATCAATTTAATAAAATATATTGTTTGAATAACATAACATTATCGTGATGACAAATTTAAATATTGTTAAAGTTTAATAAGACAGTATTGTCAATATAGCTCAAGATTTTTTTTTCTGTGCGGTCGAAACGATGCTAATGCAGCAACACATGCTTTTGTCACCTCTCCTGAGCTAGTTACTGCTTTAGCTATTGAAGCACGTCTAGATTTCAATCCAGTTACTGATTCGATTAAAGGAGCTGATGGTTAGTTATGAATAATTGACTTAAGTGATAAAATATTTTAAAATAATTTTGGTATTTTACATTTTTAGAAGGACCTTTATATATATACTAGAATCAAACTCTTGTTTATTAACTCATTGATAACAATTATATTTTTTAATTTAACGATATAATTTATGAGTAAAATAAAATTTTTCTATTAGTGAATTTAATAGTTTCTATAATTAAAGTCTCTGGTACTTTATGTTGTAAATAAATTTTTTTTTATTAAAAATCTTAAATTCATTAGTATTTTAATGTCTTATAGAATTTTTGTAACTTAGTTTTAGAGAATGCCATAAATAAATATTTAAAGCGTATATATATATATATATATATATTAAAAAAGTATAAAGTATCCAAAATTATTTATTCTGGGTTTGAAATATATGTATAATCATATAATTGGTTTTGATCGAATTCTATATACACTAATACTAATTACTTATATTTTGCAGGTAAAAATTTTGAATTGAGTAATCCGTTTGGCGATGAATTGCCTTCCAAATGTTTTGACCCTGGCCATGACACGTATCAAGCTCCACCTTCTGATGGATCAAAAATTAATGTAAAAGTTGATCCGACATCAAACCGTTTACAATTATTGGAGCCGTTTAAAGCTTGGGCTTTTGAAATGTATCTTATGTCATATTGATGGACAAATGTGAAATTTCACTGGTCGAAACGATGAGTTATGAATAATTGACTTCAGTGATAAAATATTTTAAAATATGCAAGCAGACGAAATAATGTTGAACCACACGTTTAACGAGCAACAAATCGAAAGGTTCAAAGCCGGTAGTGCGTTAAATCGCATGAAACAAGCTGCTTCAAAACAGAGTAGCAACAATTCTTCTTCTTCTTTCTTCAGAGGCATTTATAACTCTATTAGAGATTTTGTCAACAAATATGTACTTTCATAAATGTGCATGTGATGATATCTATGTATATTCCAGTGTTGGCCTGGTACTTAAAGTGCCCTGGAGGTTTTTTTCATATAAACCTGCAAATATGTCTTCTCATATCTCATCTAACTATGAAAATTGCTTATATGTATTCCAAAACATAATTTTTAATGGTACCTTATTTAAAATGTACAAACAATTAATTTAATCACTTAGTTACCAATTATTTATTTAAAATTGTATTATTTTAAATAGCATATTAGCATAACACATAGAAGTTTTTTAAAATAAATAAATACAATTATGTTAAACCAGGCTATGGTTTCAACTATCCATTAAAATATAAAATGTTGCTCTTTTTGTGGAAAAAATCAGTGATCTTTAGGAATAGTTGTTGGGGACAAATGTCGTGCGAGGATCGCGGCATATTGGCCTCCTGCAAACTTGGTCGATAACATGATCGATTTCTTGAGAGGGGGTAGTTAGCTGTGCTGTTTTCCAATGGCTAGGCTGCTGCCCGCTCCCAGAACCGGTCTGTCGTCGGTCGTCTGCACGTTCATCATCACCGTCGTGTATTTGTGTTTTACGTAGCCGTCTAGGCAAAATAGCTACCGGTGCGTCGCCACCGTTTCGCCGACGTCGTGTACACTGTACGCCACTCCATCGTTAGTGTTTTTTGTTATATATTTCGCCGCCATATAGCACTCCGTGTAAGGACTGACTTACTATAACCGAAAAGAATAACATTTTATATAAAGCGTAGTTAATTGATTAATAAAACGATTTCAAAATTAACGTTTGAAAGGGAAAACGAAAAAAAAAATATCGGACACGACGGACGGAAAAAAAAAAATAAATATGGCAAAGAAGAGCTAACAACGAATTTTCTTTGATAAGATACCAAGCGGCGTCGGAAATCCTGCAAAGAACGTCGGCGGCGGCGGCCCAGAATCGAAACCTGTACCTACGGGGTACCTATGCCTACAACCTGCCTACCAATCGATTTGGAATCTAATAGGAAGATTTGAGCATTTAAACCATTTGACGGGGACATAAGGTAGACGGAAGACCGATCGGTGACGTCACGGCGGCGCGAGAGGCACAGGTACAGAACGCTTCTAAAGCCCTACCACTTAATCTAGTTGTTATGTATTTTATTAAAATCGGTACATTTTTCTTTTCTACGGACTCTATAGCTAAATCACATGCCTGAATAAACTGATAAACATCATCTTCTCCCGTACTTTTTGGTATTAATTTAACTGCCTCTTCCAATTTTAATGTTACTATATTGCTATTCATTTTCCTTCTAGGTTTTACTTCAAATCTTAATTCCTCAAATTCAGTATTACGACTACTTCGAGTTCTACGATGCTCGCTCTGTGTTCCTACGTTTAATAATTTTTTAGTGTGTTCATCAATATTTTCCTCTTTTACAAAACTTTTGTCAAGATCTTCCACACTACCTTCACTTTCACTTTTTTCCCTATACACCGAATTAGCTACTTTCGATGGAGACGAGTCCGGACTGCTATGCTTACTCATAAAAATTCTTTACCCATTAACTTTTAATTCTCAATAATTCAATAATATTTTCAATAAATTCAATAATAATAATCTCAATAATTCAACAATAATAATCTCAATAAATTCTTTCAATAATAAATCTTCAATAATAATCTCAATAATAATCTCTTTAAATAATTTTTAATATTATTCCTTTTTATAGTAACTCCAACAAAATAATATTTTTCCCTACCGTATTGAGCCTCTGGCCAGATAAACTCAATAAATTTCACTATAATAATTCTCAATATAACTTCAATATAAACTCAATATAAACTCAATATAATTTCAATATAACTTCAATATAATCACAATATAATCTCAATATAATCTCGGGATCCCCTTTAATAATTCAATAATTCAATATAACTCAATAATAATTCAATAATAATTCTCAATAATAATTCTCAATAATAATGTGGGTATTTAGCTAGAATTTTTAGGTGTCAATGGTTTTTTTTTATGAACATAGAATGTTTTCGTTTCTTTTATAAAATTGTATCTTAAAATAATATGGTTATTACAAAATATATGCTTACAAACAATTGTTGATTGAAGACATGTTGTTGACTGAATGATCCGGTGGAGTATCAGCTATTCAATGGAAGTTGAGAAGTTGAAGGACTGCAAGTTGTTCAGCTCCTCGATGGTTCCGATGTGGAATTGCCTTCTATTGAATATCCTACCGACTGCGCCAATTTTTGTTACGTGCCAACCGTTTGATCCGTTAATTCAGTTACAACGTCTCAGTCAACGCTTGTGTGGAAGTGTAGCCAGGAATAAATAAGACTTCTTTTTTAAAATAATTAAATTTATTTAACTTATAAAAATTATTCGAACTACAAATTTTGTAAATATTCTAGTGATAGAAATTATTTAAGTCCTAACAATTAAACTTATAAAATAATTGGAAATATTTCTAAGTCCAGACCATAACATACACTGACGTGAAGGTGCTCAGTGCAGCATAGACAAGACTCGTCTGATTTGCCCTTGTTTTCGGGTCCCTTTTATATGTGATATTGTATGTGTGTGTGTAAAATCCCAAATGTGTGTGTGTAAATGAATAAGATAATAAAATAAGATAATTTCCTATAAATTGTGAGTGTGTGTGCGTTATCTCCAGACCGTGACATAATTATTGACGCAAATGCCCAGGATGTGGTCACCACATCATTCCGATAAACTATTTTATTTCAATTTCCCAGAAAAACGTTTATGTGAACCCTTTCACTTGTCCACGCTTGTGATTTCGATATTCTAATTCCTTATTGTAATCTCTAGTGTAATAACCACGTGAACACAATAATCTAACTTATCCATAGTTGTGGTTTTTGATGTACATGGGAACCTCCTTGTGATGTTGTGATGTGTTTTACCGTGTGACTACGCGGGACGCGACAGTATATTTAATAATCCGGTTTGAGCATATAAAACGGTTTTAAATTCTTAAACTACATAGCGCGAGCGTTTTAACTTTTAAAACGATTTACATTTTTTAAACCGTTTTTAAGTGTTTACATGACGTTAATGGGTCTTAATTTCAAAACGGTTTAATTTCAAACCGTTTTAACGCTATCATATAAACGTAGTAAATAATTGTGATGAATTATTAATATTTATAATATCAATTAATAATAATCAAAACATTATTATGTAGGTACAATGTATCATGCAATACTACCACGGTTACTACTTATGATAATTATTAACTATTGATAATATACAGGTGGAAAATTGATACGCCTTCGGCGTCAAAGGCGTTCGCTAACTAGGAGTCCCCCACCTAATTGTTTTCTTAAAAATACTATGGCACCATACTTACGATATTATACTAACAATCGATGCATCGTGTCAAACGTATAAACACCAATACAATAAATATATAAAACATTTATGTGTACATAAAAAAAATGAAATAGCAGAGGGCAAACCGCAGTGTAATTGAAAATAAACATAATAATAGTACCCTTACAAAGTTAAGTGTCTTCTCAACAATAGTTAAAGGTTACATAAGTGTATAATTTATTATATTTAATAGACAGCATAGAATTTCAAAAAAAAGGTATGAATATGCATATAGATATTGATATTTCAGTTACCGAATAAAATATATATTTATGATAACAAAAACATTATAAGTGTCTTCTTCTGTAACTTAACCTAACAAAAGGACACTTTTATTAAAAGTATCTTAGATACAACAATTTATAAGTCTTATAAACGCTAGAGAACTTGACATTTTTTGAAATATGAAATTATCAAAGTAAATAAACATTCAATCACAGTATAGTCGGTTAAAAGAAAGAAGACCTAACGCATGACGTATTTTATCAATAATAATTAATGAATATGTATAGGTACAAAGTGAGTCTGCACACAAAAAACTATAAAAATGGGGTTAGATCTTCCTTGATGTTGTCTGAAAAAAAAAAATTGTGCGATAAGTGAATACTTTATAATAGGTGTGTATACATATATGTTGGCGTTAGTTACGTTTTACACTCTAAAAATTCTTAGTGAAAAACGCATCCAAGAAAGACCACGTGGAGGTCGCCAACCTCTTTCTCACATTCAGAAAACATTAAAGTACTCATCAACAATATTTAAAAAAAATATACAGAATGAATACATAAAAATATAAATAATTTATGAAAGACAGAGTGTGGAAGTTTCTTGTAATCATAGCATATATGTGCTTTTAAGCTTAAAGAATATGTGAAGATAATGTATACAAGTATGAAACTTAACATAATCAAAGCAAATATTTTTATTATTATATAAAACGTTCCAGTAAGATACGGTTTAAATAAATAAACTATACTAAGACTATAATTTTTTCTTATAATATTAGAAGAAAAGTATAATAATAACCAAGCTCTTGGGTACAACAGTACTACACTGGTGTTTGAGCACTCGTTAATTCATTACTCTGCAAACCACTATGAGCAAAATAAACAATATTTAGTTTAAGATATTTTACAAAGACATTTATATCATAGAGAAATAAGAGCGTTAAATATTGTAATACATACCAAGTTTTCTTTATTTTATAGCTGGGTTTGATTTGAATATTATCATTAACACCAATAACACATTGAATTCAATTCCATTTCAAGGAATAAAATATAATGAAAACATGCCACTACTGTCTGTCTATATTATTTGGAAAGATGAATCAAACTGAATGAATTTAACATATTTAAAAAACAAATTTATAATTATTTAACATTATTTAAAGACACAATTAAATCATAGTCGAACGATAGATTTAATAAACATATATGAGCAATAGAATTATAAAAAGTGTTTTAATTTTTGTATCTGTTTGTATTCATAATAATATCATATATGTCAATCACTTTCCTTCTCAATGATAACATACAATAGCTCTGTCCTCATAATTTTTGGTAGAACAAATAAAAGTGAATATGTAATTAACAAATTTTAAAAACACTTAAAGCTTATAGTACAAAGAAGGGATAACTTAATGGTTTTTTTCATCTTCATAATATCATAAAAGTTTTTTATTTCCTTTCATTTAAGTGTAAGGACTGACTTTTACTAAAACCGGAAAGAATAACATTTTATATATATTTTTGTAATTGAAAAAAAAAGATATGTAATACATACCATGTTTTCATTACTTTATAGTTGTGTTTGTTTTGAATAGTATCATTAGCACCAATAACACATTGACTTCAGTTTCATTCCAAAGAATAAAGTATAATGGAAAACATCCAACATCTATCTCCTGTATGATTTGGAAAAATAAATTAAAGTGAATGTACTTAACTTAATTTAAAGACACAATTAAAAGATAGTCGCACGATAGACTTGATAAAATATGTGAACAAAAGAATTATAAAAAGTGTTGCATATAAATTGATTTTTAAATTTTACAACTGTTTGTGAGAATAAAAATATCAAAAAAAGTCAATTACATTCCATCTCAATGAAAACATCCCATAGCTCTCCCATAATATTTTATGGGAAATCAAATAAAAATGAATGTAATAAATAAATTTTAAAAACACATTCAAAGCATATATTGTACAAAGAAAATAATTTACACAAATGGTAAAACTTACTGGGTTTACTTATTTTTATAATATCACATAAGTTTTCATTACCATTAATTTCCTTTCGTCCAAGTGTAACAACTGATACTATAAGACTTATTTATATAAACCGAAAATATAACATTCAATATATATAATTGAAAGAATGAGTTGAAAAATGTATAGCATACCATGTTTTTTTTTAGTTTATAGTTGAGTTTGTTTTTATTAGTTAATCATTAGTACCGAAGTAGTAACTGAATTATTCCTTTTCAAAGAAAATGTATAATGAAAACATACAACAGACATCTCCCTATATTACGTAGAAATATAAATCAAATTGCATGTATTTAAAACAAATTTATAATTATATAACATAATTTAAAGAAACAAAATCAATGAAAACATCCAATAGCTATCTTCTAATATTTTTTAGTAAAACATATAAAAATAAATGTGTAATCAACAAATATTAAAAACACATTGAAAGCATATAGTATGTAGAAGGTAAAAATCACAATTGATTCATAGTCAAACGATGGACTTAATAAACATATGTGTGAACAATAGAATTATAAAAAGTATTGCATATAATTTGATTTTTAATTTTGTAATAATAAAAAATCATTTACAAAAAAAGTAAAAGTTATTGGGATTTATTATTTTTTATAATATCAGATAAAAGGTTTCATTTCCTTACATCTAATTGTAAGGACTGATACTATAAGACTCATTTACTAAAACAAATATATCATTTTAAAATATAATACATACCATGTTTTCTTCATTTTATAGCAGTGTGTGCATTTTATAATATCATTACAGCCATTCACATTAAATCGATCTGGTAAACACAATATATTATATATATATATATATATTGTATTAATATATAAAATAATATATTACATATATTGCAGGTATATGTAATGAAAACATCCGATTAACTATATCTCCTCATATTTCTCGGTAAAACAAAAGCTCTGACTTAATTTTTTTCTGGTAAAACAAATAAAAATTAATGTAATTATCAAATTTTAAAATACACATTTAAAGCATATAAAGTATAAGGAAAATAATTTATAAAAATGTAAAACATTCTGTGTTTTATTGTTTTACAACATCATAAATATTTCATTTCCTTTAATCCAAGTGTAAGGACTGATTCTGTAGGACTATTCTACTAAAACCGGGAAAAATAACATTCTATACATATGTAATTGAATGAAAGAGTTAAAAAAATGTAATACACACCATGTTTTCTTTATTTTATAGTTGTGTTTGTTTTGAATAGTATCATTAGCACCAATAACACATTGAATTCATTTCCATTTCAAAGAAAAAAGTAAAATGAAAAAATACAATAGCTATATCCCTATATTATTAGAAAAAATAAATAAAATTTAATGTATTCAACATAAAAACAAATTTATAATTATTTAACATTATTTAAAGACACCGTAAAAGTTTGCATTTCCTTTCGTCCAAGTGTAACGGCTGATATTCTATAAGACTCGTTAACTAAAACCGAAAAAAATAACATTCAATACGTAGTCGAACGAAAAAGTTAAAAAATGTAATACATACCGAATTTTATTTATTTTATAGCTTTGTACGTTATGATCAGTATCATTAGCACAGACGAAACGTTTTATTCAATTCCATTCCATTTATAATGAAATCATACAGCTATCTCCCAACATCTTTTGGCAAAGAAATCGTATTGAACGTACTTAACGCTTATAAAAAACCAATTATAATTTAAACGTATTATGTACCATGTTTTCTTCGTTTCATAGCTGTGTGTAAGCGTTTAATAATAACATTCCACTGTTTCACAACAAATCAATATATGCAATGAAAACATCCGATTAGTTATGTCTCTTCATATTTTTCAGTAAAACGAATCGAATATCACATAACATGTATTAAAATTACGATTAAAGCGAAGAATTAATGAGACGCATTCGAAAACGTTTACACAAAAAAAAAGTACGTACTATTATAGATAATCTATCTATCCATCTTCTATCTTCTTCTTCTATTATATTAAAATAATTCTCTGCGACGCGATTGATCGGAAAACTTAATTAAATCCCGCGGAAAGTTTTTCGTTTCGTATCTGACCGTTTCCCGTAGACTTTTGTCTCCTCTATCCATTTCAGCAGTCCATTTGATTTTCCGATCCGTCGTTTTTCCGATGCGACCGGATGAAAATCCGAGATTTTCTCGACTAAGCACCAGCTCAATCGGAGCGTTCTGTACCTGTACCTCTCGCGCCGCCGTGACGTTTCACTCGTACGTGACGTCACCGATCGATGGTCGCGGCTGTACCTTATCTCCCCGTCGAACGGTTTAAATGCTAGTTTTCCTCAACGTTTGCAACTCGATAGGTAGATAGGCTGTAGACGTAAGACCGATAAGACCTCGTAGATACAGTTTCGATTCCGGCCCCGGCGCCGCCGATATTCTGTGCAGGATATTCGACGCCGTTGCCATCGGTTCTGATCGGCAAGAATCTGGTGTCAGGTCTGCTCCTCACGGATTCTTTTTTTTTTCCGTCCGTCGCGTCCGATTTTCGCCGCCATATCTTATCGACGAGAGTGTTGATTCCGTTCGCGGTTTCTTTTTTATTTATTTTCCGTCACGTCCGTTTTTTTTTCGTTTCAAACGTTTTTTGTGAAAACGTTTTCGAGTGCGTTTTATTAATTCATAACTTTAATCGTATTATTTAGTATATGTTATTTAATATTCGATTTGTTTTACCGAAAAATCGGATGTTTTCATTACATATATTGATTTGATGTGAAAAAGTTTAATGATATTACTAAACGCACACAACTATAAGACGAAGAAAACATGGTACGTATTACGTTTAAATTATAAGTTTTTTTTTATAAGTGTTAAATACGATTTGTTTTGCCAAACGATGTAGGGAGATAGCTGTTGTTTGATTTAATTATACTTTTTTCAATGGAAAGGAATTGAATTCAACGTGTCTTTGGTGCCAATGATACTATTCAAAACATTCACAGCTATAAAATAATGAATACTTGGTATATATTACATTTTGAGACTTTTTCATTCCACTACTTATTGAATGTTATATTTTTCAGTTTTAGTAATGAGTCTTACAATATCAGTCGTTTCCTTGGACGAAAGGAAATGAAAACTTTTCTGATATAATGTAAATAAGAAAACCCAGTAAGTTTTACCTTTTTTATGAATTATTTTCTTTCTACTATATATGTTTTAAATGTGTTTTTAAAAGTTGTTAATTACATAAATTTTTATTCGTCTTACCAAAAAATAAAAGGGAATGTGTTTGACATCAATGATATTTTTATAAACATAATCAGATATAAAAAGTATTTATACAATACTTTTTAGAATTCTATTGTTCACACATATGTTTATTAGGTTTATCGTTCGACTATGATTTAATCGTGTTTTTATATTATGTTAAATGATTAGAAATTTGTTTTTTTAAATAAGTTAAATACATAAAATCTGATGTATTTTTCCAAATAATGTAGGGATATAGCTGTTGTATGTTTTCATCTCACTTTTTTCTTTGAAATGGCATTGAATTCAATTTGTTATTGGTGCTAATGATACTATTCAAAACAAACACAATTATAAAATAAAGAAAACATGGTATGTATTACATTTTTTAACTCATTCTTTCAATAACATATAGATAGAATGTTATTTTTTCCGGTTTTAGTAAAAGAGTCTTACATCTCCCTGGAATTTTGTATGTAATAATAAAAATATTTGCTTTACAATGTTCACATATGTTTATTAATTATATATCTTTAATAATAATAATAATAATATTTAATAATATAATTTTGTCTCTATATTATGTTAAATAATTGTAAATTTATTTTTTAATTATCTTAAATACATTCAAATTGATTTATTTTTCCAATTCATTATGAAATGAATGTACCAAGTATGTTGGTTTTTTACCTTTTTTTTTGTAAATTATCTTCTTCATACTACATTACATTTTACATTAATTATTATTTGTTTTTCCAAAAAATGTTAGGACCTATTGTATGTTTTCATTGAGAAGGAATGTGATAGACATAAATTAAATTTTTATAAATACAAACAAATATAAAAATTAAAACACTTATTATAATTCTATTTTTCACATTTGTTTATTAAGTCTATCGTTCGACTATGATTTATTTGTGTCTTTAAATAGTATTAAATATATTCAATTTGATTTATTTTTCCGCATAATATATAAGGAGATAGCTGTTGTACATTTTCATTATACTTTATTCTTTAGAATGGAATTGAATTCAATGTGTTATTGGTGCTAATGATACTATTAAAAACAAATACAGCTATAAAATAAAGAAAACATGGTATGTATTACATTTTTTAACTCTTTCTTTCAATTATATATTTTTAATGTTATTTTTTCCGGTTTTAGTAAAAAAAGTCTTACAGTAACAGTCCTTATACTTAGATGAAAGGAAATGAAAACTAATATGATTTTATGGAAATAAGAAGAACCAGTAAGTTATACCTTCTCTGTACTATATGCTTTCAATGTGTTTTTAAAATTTGTTTATTACACATTCATTTTTATTTGATTTACCATAAAATATTAGGAGAGAGCTATGGGTTGTTTTCATTGAGAAGGAATTTGATTGACTTTACTGATATTTTTATTATCACATACAGTTGTAAAATTTGTTTTGTATATAAAAAAATGTTTTGTTCACATATGTTCATTAAAGCTATCATTCGACTATGATTTATTTGTGTCTAAATTATGTTAAATACATTCAATTTGATTAATTTTTCCAAATAATATAGGGAGAGAACTGTTGAATGTTTTTATTGTACTTTATTCTTTGGAATTGAATGGAATTCAATGTGTTATTGGTGCTAATGATACTATTAAAAACAAATACAGCTATAAAATAAAGAAAACATGGTAAGGATTACAATTTTTAATGCTCTTATTCCACTATGATATAAATATCTTTTTAAAATATCTTAAACGATATATTGTTTATTTTGCTCATGGTGGGTTGTAGAGTAATGAATTAACAAATACTCTAACACGAGTGTAGTAGTGTTGTACCCATGAGCTTGGTTATTGATAAACTTTTCTCTTAATATTGTAAGAAAATATTATAGTCTATGTACAATTTATATGAATTAACGAGTGCTCAAACACCAGTGTAGTACTGTTGTACCCAAGAGCTTGGTTATTATTATACTTTTCTTCTAATATTATAAGAAAAAATTATAGTCTTAGTATAGTTTATTTACTTAAACCGTATCTTAGTGGAACGTTGTATAATAATAAAAATATTTGCTTTCATTTTGTTATGTTTCATATTTGTATACATTATCTTCACTTATTCTTTAGGCTTAAAAGCACATGATTATACGAAACTTCCACACTCTGTCTTTCATAAATTATTTTTATTTTTATATATTCATTCGGTATATTTTTTAATTATTGACGATGAGTAATTTTATGTTCTCTGAATGTGAGAAAGGGGTTGGCGACCTCCACGTGGTCTTTCTTGGATGCGTTTTTCACTAAGAATTTTTAGAGTGTAAAACGTAACTAACGCCAACATTTATGTATACACACCTATTATAAAGTATTCACTTATCGCACAATTTTTTTTTTTTTCAGACAACATCAAGGAAGATCTAACCCCATTTTTATAGTTTTTTGTGTGCAGACTCACTTTGTATCTATACATACTCATTAATTATTATTGATAGAATACGTCATGTGTTAGGTCTTCTTTCTTTTAACCGACTATAATGTATTTAAATGTTTTTTTATTTAGATAATACCATATCTAAAAAAATGTCAAGTTATCTAGCGTTTATGAGACTTTTATTTTTTTAATAAAGATTTCCCTTCGTTATGCTGTAGGTTAGGTTAATGGAGAAAACAATCATAATTATATATTTTATTCTGTAACTGAAATATCAAGATCTAAATGCATATTTATACCTATAATATATTCTAAATAACTGAAATACCTAAGTCCTAAGGTATGTACACGTAAAATTGATATTTTAGTATATTTCATCCAATGAAATGATTTTAAAAATAATTTAAAAAGTGACACAATGTGCTTTTAATGAATTTATGTGATAAAAATAAAAATAAGTGACATGTTTTAATGGGATATTTTAATATTTCTATCTTTATGTCTATGATAGTGTTAGTAAATGATAAATTATATGTTTTATTGTTTAATTTAAGTGTGGTGTTTTAATTTTTGCCCTTTAGATATTTTCAAAACATCCAAGATTTCAGAATTTAATCAATTTTTCAAACATCATCGTCAGAAACCAAATTTGAATGAAGAAATTCCATTTAATTTTCAAAAAGCTTTCTTTAGAAGTGATGGCTCTGAATGAAAATGGTTAACCTATAATAAAAGTCCAAAACAATTATTTTGCTATTTGTGTATCGCATTTTTTCTTCTGAAAGTAATAACTTCACTTGAGACATGGATGTATGGAGACATACTTATATTCGAATTGATGAACATTAAAAAAGCACAACACATAAAAATTGTGTTACAGCTTATATTCTCCATTCAAATGAATATGATATAAGTTCTCTACTTTTCTCTGAGTGTAAAAAAGAAATTAGAAAAAAATCGTGAAATTGTTGCATGAGTGATCAAAACTGTGAAACTAATAGGAAAACATGGATTGAGTTACAGAGGAAATCAATTTGAAGCGGTATATACATTAAATAATCCATTTATTGACCATGGAAATTTTTTAGAAATCGTATTGTTTTTAGCAAAATATGATTTTCAAATGAAAGATCACTTGGAAACTGTAATAAAGAAGAGTCGCAAAGCCCATGAAAGTGGAAATAAAGGACGAGGAGGACTTGTTACTTTTCTTTCTAAGACCACAGTTGATTATGTTATTGCAGCAATAAGTCGTTTAATTAAAAAATCAATTTGTGATGAAGTTGAAAATGCTAAAATGTACCTATGCAGTTATGCTGGATACCACTCAAGACATTACATCATCTGATCAATGTGCAGTAGTTTTAAGATATGTTGATGATAATGGTGTTAATGAAAGGTTAATTGCCGTTATAAATTATTCAGATTCATCAGGTAAAGGCATGCATAATCTATTACAAAATGTTTTACTTTCTAATAATTTGAATATAAAAAAACTGTATTGCCAACACAACTGACAGTGCAGCTAATATGTTAGGGGAATAAAATGGATTCTAACCATGGCTTAATGAATCATCTCCCCATCAAATACATGTTCGGTGTTATAGTCATGTATTAAATTTAGTTTTATCGGATGCTTCCAAATCATCATTGGCTGCTGTATCTCTTTTTCATTTATGTAATAGTTTAGCTGTTTTTTTTAAAGATTCACATAGGCGTATGAGAATTTGGATAGAACGATGCCATAGTTTATATCAGCATTTACAAACTATTGGTGAAACAAGGTAGTGGAGTAAAGAAATTGCAATTGTTAAAATATTCGGATATACTGAAGGCCCATGTAAGAGTAATGCACTGTATATTGATGTTTTAATGGTTTTATATGACATTATAAATTATGAAAAAACTAATCCGGATATAAGGATCAAAGCTGAGACTATGAAAAATATGTTATTACATTTTTCTACAATATTAACTGCATATATATATATATATATATACATACATAAGAATTTTTAGTATTACAGGCTCTTTATCAAGATATCTGCAAACCAAATCTATGGACTTGATTAAAGCTCAGGACCTAGTTGGTGAAGTACTTGAACAATTAGAAAAAGTTCAAAGAAATATAGAATGGATAAAATTATCTACAGAGACATTTGTTGTTTGGGCTAAGATGAGTTGGATATACGATTTGATGGTGATAGTCCTATGTCTGTGAATGAAACATTATCTAGCATAAAGACCAGAAAGAAAAAAATGTTACCTTGTGAGATAAGTAGAGATGTTGTACACGATAATTAATTTAAAAAATATGAAATAAAAATTCATAATAAGATATTAGATACAGTTGTTGAGAGTATTAAAAAAAGATTTATAAAACAGAAAATTGTATAATGATTTATCATGCTTGTCGCTAAGCTATTTTTCATACATAGTTCAAAATGGATTACCTGATCAAGTATTGACTACTTTATGTGATAAGTTAAAAAGCTTAAATACAAATATAACTTACAACAGTCTAAAGGATGAACTAATTCATCTTGCCAAAAATTGGGTTAAATTGAAAAAGTCTTGCTGAATAATTTGCTGCTTCATACTCATTAGAACTAAATGAAGAAGAAGATGACATTAAATCTAAAATTAATCTTGAATCTGAAAATGTAACTTGCAAGAGTTGTAAAAATTGTGTTGTTTGTTGCTATAATATTTTACAAAAATACAAATTGAATTGTGATACATATTCAAATTTATTTCTGGCTTACAAATATGTGTTAACACTATCTTCTAAACAAGTTTCATGTGAAAGGTGTTTTTAATTTCTAAAAAATATTAAAACAAGACTTCGCAGTCAACTGTCAGATCCAAAGTTAAAAGCATTCATGTTAATAGCTATCAAAAAATAGAAATTAATTTTATTAGATCCGGATACAATTATTGAAAAATTAAAAAAAGAAAATTCACTATTAAAAAAAAACTCTTCTTATAGATTTGATTAGGTAAATCTGTTAAAAAAGTTATATTTATTTTTATTTGTAGTATAGATAGTATATTATGTTGATGTTAAATATTGTTTAAAATGTAATGAATATATGTATGTAATATTATATTAGATACCTACTTATTAGTTGTATAATATACACAGCTTAACAGTTCTATTTGTTATAATGAACATTTTGTTTAAACATTTAAATAAAAAATGAGTTGATCAATCGAATGATGTACCTACCATAATAGTTTGTAATTTTTACAGGTTTATCAATGTTAAATTAGTAGTTAAACATATGTGTTGGTAAAACATTGTTTTTTTACTATGAATATTGATTTTATAAAAGGGATATTATAAAATCAATGCTATAAATAACATTTAATAATAACTATTTTATATTTGCCTAAGCAAACCTATAATGTCATAATTTTTGGAAGTACAATAATAAAGTAATATATCGAAATGTATTTAAAAAAATAAAAAATAAATTAATGTTATGGACAAAATTCACTTCCCCCCCTCCCGTAACCATATGGGCCCCTATAATAAAATTTTCCAGGGCCGGTCCACAATTTCAATCCGTCCCTGTGTACAATTGATGCATATTTCCAACTATATAAATTTTCAATTGATAGTTTTTCGTTTTCGCTACATTCCGTTACCTCACTGTTGATTGTACTATCGATTTTTTCAATTTAGAATATTCATGATTTTTTGACAAAATATTTGAAAGTTTAGATCTTGCAAAATCTATCCCTTCTAATCCTAGCCCTCCTAGTAATCGCGTAGATGGACGTAATCGTTGTATAAAAAACTCATTTTAACCAAGAAGTAGGTAATAAATAATAATATAATAATGGTTTATTACTCGGAGTCAGTAATCTAATTCATAACCACAATCATTTATATAATAAATTACCTTCATGGACGTTCATAAAATTTAACTTAAATTTTATTAAATTTATAATACTTAATACTTGTTAAAATGTTGGAAGAAGAAGTTGAAACCACAAAACCCCCTTTCGGCACGCTCCTGGGTTCTTCAACTTTGTTTTTCGTGTTTAATAGAGAGATTATGTTGAATATCTCCTTGTTGATCCGAGATCCGATGCAAAAATCCGTTAAAATTTGCGAATAGTGTTTATACATAACTCGGAAATTACGAAATATACGTGCGCACTGTATCACTACTGTAACTATCAGTAAAGATAAAAGCATAACATTTAATAATTAATAAATAATTATTAAGAAATAATTTATATATTTTAAAATATAAAATTAATTAATATACAGTTAAACCGATATGCATATTGCCCAACTCATTTATATATTATTTGTTGATAAAGTTATTGTTGTTTGGCAACAAATTAATACTTCTAACAATAAATAAAACTAGAAATATTTATAACATTATATTAAACAATATTTAATCAAAAGATATCGTTATTCTGATTAATAATTATTTGTAAAATATTAAAAAATAAAATATTTATACATTTTTGGCAATCATTGAATATCGAAAAAGTTCAGTCAATGGCATCATTTAATTTACAGAAGAATGTTTTATGGTCATTTGAAAAAGAAAGCATAAAACCAGAACCATTCAATAAATTATCTCTTAAAGGTAAAAATATACTTGTAGAATTTGATAATTTTCAATAGTTATTTTGCTTTTTTTAAACTGCAATTCTTCAAATTATTTATTATTAAAACAATGAGTGTAAAAATATGATTATATAGTCATTAGAAAATAGAAGACTTCAATATTATATTAGTGGCTATGATATATGGAGTCAATATTTCATCGAATACAATTTTCAATACATGGAATTATAAATTATCATTTATTGTTTGCCTAATATATTAAAGGCCACTCGACATTTACCATTTTTTTCTTTTTTGAAACATATAAATTAAATTTTAAAAATACGAAACTCCTAGGTCGGCTCAAATTTCATATTTGGGAGAGATACATGTATGGGTGAATAATTAAATTATTGTATTAGTCTTTTAAACTTGAAACCAATATACAATTGATTTGGGACAAAGATTCTGAATAACAGAGGTCTAGTGGATCAGTTCATTTTTCATGATACAGTAGAATCAAACTTTCTTAATAAGGTAGGTTGTACTTTATCTATTTTCACTTTTACAGAAATAAAATACAGTAGAACCCGTTTAAGATGTTCTCCAAGGGACCAGTTAAAAATAGCGTCTTAAGCAGGAAATCGTATTACGCGGGAACAAAAATTTTTTTTACATATTTTTTACAAAAAATTTTTTTTACATATTGTACATATTAAACATGTACCTATTATGTTTTTTACTTTGCTGAGTGAGTTATTACATTTATATTGCATATTATTTTATATTACTTATTTCAAAAAATCATCTATCTTCCTTTGTTTCATATTTTTGATGTTTTTTGAATACAGGAAGTTTTCAATTTTATTAAGATGATTTAACGATTCATCAGCATCGTCAAAAGATACAACTAATCTTCTTAGCTCATTAACATAATCAAGTGCATTTACTACTGGGAGAATCGGTGTTATATTATCCTCTTCCTCGTCTTCGCTTTCTTCATCTATAGAAGTTACATCAGCCGGTGCAATTTTATCAGTAATTATCTGGTCAATGCTTCTAATGTTACTTGTGGCGATGTCCTCGTCAATTTCTGCATATCCTGGAAACTCCTCAACAAATTTTGCTTTTCGAAAACAATTTTTAATGACATCAGCCGTAATTTCATCCCATGCTGCTGATACGTTGTGTAATGCATCGAGTACGTCAAGTTTTTTCGCGGGATTTTTATTTTCCATTTCTTTCAAGTATCGTAAAACCAATTTTTTCGATATTTTTGTTTTAAAACCTTGATAATTCCTTGATCCAGGGGCTGTAATTTGACTGTTGCGTTTGGGGGTAAAAAACAAGTTTTATGTTTTCAAGTGGAATATTAGTAGGATGTGAAGGACAGTTATCTACAAACAGTAAAATGTTCCTATTCTGTTTTTTAAAAGAGAGATCTAATTGTTTTATCCAGTTTATAAAAATATCACCTGTCATCCAAGCATGATTTTGTGATACGTAATCACATGGAAATGTACGTACATTTTTAAAACAACGTGGAGCTTTACTTTTTCCAATAAATAGAAGTCTTAACTTTTGAGAGCCAGTAGCATTTGTACATGCCAAAACTGATAGACGTTCTTTACTTAGTTTGCCACCATGGCATTTTTCACGTTTAAACACCAAAGATTTATCAGGCATCAATTTAAAAAACTCATCTGCATTGAATATATCATTAGAAGAGTATTCTTTTAAAATATTCGGCAAAATATTTTCACTCCATGCAGCGATATCAGCGTCATTAACGGGAACATAGAGCGTATTATTCAGAGTTAATTCCATGTTAAACGTTGTCAAAATCAAGGGACTCGTAAAAATGAGCGTATTAGCCGGGAAATCGTCTTAAGCCAGAGCGTCTTAAACGGGTTCTACTGTATCTTCATTTTGGAAAAATCACCATGATTGATAACGAATAGTACAATTATTAATTATAGATTTTATCAATCGTTTTTTTTTAATTTATCGACCCATAAATCAGATTAAACAATTACTCATACATTTTATATATGTTTAATAAATACTATTTATGTTAATACCTACTTATTAATTATTCAAATGAAAACAATTTGAAACCTAACAAGAATAAGTTATCCTTTTTTGAAACTATATTTAAAAATTATGAACTTTCGTTATTCTTTCGAAGGATTTTTTTATGTTCCAAAATTAAATAAAAAGATACTGCCTTGTTAAACTTATGCTTAAAGTTTTTTTGCATGTAATTTTTAGAATGTTCACTTGTTCAATTAGACAAAAAAATTGAATTTCTAGAAAAAAATGTATCGCTACTAAACAGCGAGTGCGAAGCAATAGAGTTTTACATAGTAAAAGAATATCCAGAGTTCCTTAAAAATAGTAAATTCCTTATTCTATTTTCTAATGAATATAAGCATACATAATACTGTACTTATCTATTTTGGTGTTCAGAAGTAATAGATGTATCATGGATGCCAGATGAATTTCAGAAACTAGGAAAACTTAAATTAATTCCAGACGCTGTGAAAAGAATTGGTCGAAAAAGTATGATGTCAAATCTAAATAAATCTAAGGGATTTTTTAGTATAGCTTTAAAAGCAATAGCAGTTCGCAAGTACGTTTTGTTCTTTAAACTCTTTTGTTAACTGTACTTGATTTATACATTTTTAAGTTTTTATTATGCAGTAAAATTTAAAAAATTATGAATTTTGAAGTTTAAATCGAAAAATATTTATTAATATATATTTAAATAAAAAAATATATAAATTTACTAAATTACTAGACTATTTTACAATTAATATCAATATTTTATGAATATTTGATAGATGCTATATCTAAACTTACATTATTGGGAATTTTTTTTGTTACTTTATTTAATGTCTACACAAATTAAATACATTCATACGGAAAATATACTATTAACCTGTACTGTAGCAGTTTTCTTTCGTTGTGAACGGTCGTTCTACCTGCGTTTCTGAAAAAAAATTTTGAAGATCATTTTGAGGACTCCCCAATTATTATAATCGAGTTCACCGATAATAGTATCACTAATGTTTCCTGGCACCCACTGATATGATCTAAATTTTTGTGTAACAACTTTTTTGGTATCAATTGTATTAAACCTAATAGTCATAGAAAAGTCAAAGTCACATTCGATTCGATTTTTCACGCTAACACATGTCTTGATTCACCCTTACTCTCCAAACACAATTTATCGGCATATATTCCTTCCTCTCTAATTTTTTCTCATTGAATTATAAAACTGGACACACGTTTGCCAGAATAGGAGTTTAGAGAAGGATTAAAATGCTGAGTCCCTGTCATCGCATTTAAACGGATATCGACTGTTAGAGATGGAATACCCACTCCTACTAGCATAGTTGAACTTAAATTTCTGTCACCAAAAATTCCTTCAAATCTTCAATATGCTTTTCGATGTGTCTCTAAGCATTCGCTCGCCATTACAATGCAATAACTGCATTTTGGTCACACTTCAATATTCTGCCGGAGCAGCCAAAGATGTAGCCTTTGTGGTTATAGCAATCACTCCTTATCCACTTGTCCTTCAGCCCAAGCTACTGACCCATGCTGTATTTTCTGTCAACAATCCCACCTCGCCACGGACCGGTTAATGGTAATGGGAATGGGACTTTCAACAAGATGTTGAAAAGATCATGACCACCGAAAACCTATTCTTCAAAGACGCAATCCATTTTAAAAAACAAAACAAAGTTTCATACGCTTTTAGTTTTACTAACATTGTAAATAAGCAGCCCGTTGTATCTCCACTAATTATTCCTTCCCTTCCCACCCACCAATCCGCTTCTCTTCCCACCCCCCAAAATTCTTTTCCTCGTTCCTTTCAATCCACTTCCTTTCCTACATTGCACTCCAACAACTCGCATAAGTTACACAAAAAACCGAGATATCGTTCTCCAATCCACGCCGTAAACAATTTCAATATTCCTGCTCAAAATAATTTTTCGCTACCAAATGGTTCCTTTTTAAAATACGCTTCTAATAACACGTCTAATACAGAAGCTTCTTCCCAAAATACCGATTTTACTTGGATAAATACGCTTGCGCTTAAATTATCTGAGTCGCTATTAAAGTCTCCTAATCTATCTTCCCATACCGCTAGTTCTCTTCAAAATATAATTGAGTCTTCCATTCTTTCTCTGTTAGCCATCCCCAGTCTTTCTTCTTTCTCCTAATTCAATTAATATTGCATATAATCTGTCATCTTGTTATTGTTATTTTTACCAATCCAATGAATTCCTTTAACATGTTACAATGGAATATCCGCAGCCTTCCGGCTCGTTGCCTTTCGGTCCAACATTTATTAGCATCGTCTAAATGTTTTGTTGTAATAATTTCTGAAACCTGGCTTTCTCCTTCTCGCAATTTCCACATACCTCATTTCAATATATTTAGAGCCAATCGTCATGACGGTTATGGTGGGGTTGCCATAGAAGTTCACTCCTCCTTAAAAGTACGCTCTATCGAAATCAATCTAAACCTCAAACTGGCGTTTTCCACCTATAAAATTGACATTGTAGGTATAGAAGTCTTAAACATTCAAAATTTCCCTTCCATCTCCTTTTGGTCTTGCTATATTCCAGATGATTCCCTCATCTCCCCGGAAATATTGAACTCTTTATTTCAGCTAGGAACCAAAAACTTCTTAATCTGTGGCGATTTCAATGCTCACTATCAAGCTTGGGGCTTTTCCTATTCATCACGTCGTAGAAACCTGATTTATGAAACTATAAACTTTTTAGGACTCGGCGTCTTGTACTCTGGAACAGTTACCCACTTAGGTAGACCTAACTGTCCAGACTCTGCTATAGATATTTATTTTTCTTCCCCTGATCTGTATTGGTTAATCACATGGCACACTTTGACTGAACCTCATGGTAACGACCATTTCCCTATTATTATCTCCTTAAACTCTGTCAACCACTCCCACCTCAATCCACAAAATTCACACAATACTTTATCCCCTTTTGCCCAATTTAACTTGAACAAAGCCGACTGGGAATTATTTTTCCAAACGATTAAGTAATAATATGTTCTCGTTAGATGAGACCATCTGCCCCATAGAATCATACAATATGTTTATTCAAATGATTTTGAACTCGGCCAATTTTTCTATCTCACCGAAAAATAATAATAAAAACCATTTTTCTCCTTCGCCTCCATGGTGAGAGACCTCCTGCATGCAGGTGGTTTACTCGCATAAAAATGTATTTAAAATTTTCCGCCGTTCTGTTTCCCCATTTGATTTTTACAATTATAACAACGCTTGTGCATCCACAACTCACCTACTAAAAAACAAGAAAAAAACTGCCTGGAAACAATTATGCTCGAATCTGAACCCATCTTCTTCCATAAAATACCTTTGGCAAACCGCTTAACGTTTTAAAAATTGCATCCAACCACCCACCCGACCTCTTAGCGATGATTGGTTCGACGATTTCTGTTCCAAAGTTGCCCCTTGCTATGTGCCATCCGTAACAGAATCTTTTCCCCACCTCATATTAAACACTCCTTTCTTTCCTTTCGACCATTGTCTAAATTTTCCCCTAACACACGGTGAATTAATTTCCGCAATAAACTCTCGAATATCTATCGCCTCCGGCTTAGGTAACATCTCACCTCTTATGTTGATAAACCTACCCAACACCGCTACGGAGCTCCTATTCTCTATAAATTAATTAAATTTCATCAAATTTTACCATCTTGGACAGAATTAAAAGTCATTCCTATTCCCAAAGCTTATTCTAACATGGGGAGGGGAATGTCGTACCTTCTCGTGGTCCTCCCTGTGAGTAGTGCTATTGTCAATTCAAAGTATACGTCTCTAAAGCAATACCTGCGAACATATACGATGATAGCACGAAACAAAACGACATCAAACCGGCGGCCAAACGCTCTCGGGCTTCCTGGCCTTATCGGCAAAAACAGCCCTTTTCAGGGCTACCCCCCAAAAAAAATTTCATATAAACATAAAAAAACACAAAAAAATTTAAAACACTTAAAAAACCCAAAAAACATCAAATAATACTCTCACAACTAATTACAACGAATTTGGAGACAAGGAGTCAAAAAATAACATCAGAATCATACAACTAAACGTTGAAGGATTGTCAAGAGCCAAAGCGGAGATTATAGCTCAAACCTTCAAAGATGCAGACATTATCGCGCTTCAAGAAACTCATGTGCCAGATGATAAAACGAACCGATTGAAAGTTAACGGTTTTCAACTGATAAATTTCTCAGGACATCCCAAACATGGTATAGCCACGTACGTAAACCATAAATGGCCCCCTAGACTCGTCAAATGTGTAGAAGGAAACGAGCATTCAATTGGAATACAAATAGGTGACCTCTCAGTATTTAACGTATACAAGCCTCCGTCCGAAAGCTGGACAACTCAGGTTCTTCCAGTAAGTTACCATCCATCAATTTTTATAGGCGACTTTAACTCGCACAGTACGGATTGGGGTTACAGTCATACTGATGAAAACGGTGAGAAACTCTCAAACTGGGAATCTATAAACCATATGTACCTCAAATACGATGCTAAACAAGGAGGAACCTTTATGTCAGGAAGATGGGGTACTTCTTCCTCTCCGGACCTATGTTTCGTCTCAATGGACCCAACAGGACTGCCTCTTAGTGTAAATCGTAGAATAGGGAAACAATTTCCCAAAAGCCAACATAAAACGGTAGTCATAGATGTTGGGATTAATCTTCCCAGAATAAAAAACCCAGAATTACAGAGATGGAATATACGGAAGGCAAACTGGAGTGCCTATTCAAAATATGTTGAGGACAATATAAACCGTATTGAACCTCTTCCTGAAAATTATTACCGATTCGTGAAATTAATTAAATCAGCCGCGTGTAAATCCATACCTAGAGGCCACAGGAAAAATTATATTCCGTGTTGGAATAAAGAATGCGAAGACCTCCTAAAAGAATACGAAGTAGATGGAAGCGAAGTTTCAGCAAATCGCCTTGTGAGATTACTCGATGAAGAACGTAGAAAGAGATGGCACACAGCGATGCAAGATTTAGACTTCACCCATTCAAGTAGAGAAAGCTGGGCACTATTAAGGAAACTAGGTGCCGCTCAACCAGCGCATAAAGAAAACTGTGTCAGAGCCAACGCTGTCTCGAGCGCCCTCTTTAAAGTCTCTAACATAAAACCGTCAAAAAAAGAAAAAATCAAGATCAAAAAACTCTATAAAGAAGAATTTGACAAAGCCGAGGAAAAATCTGAAATGTCAAGGGACGTCATGCTGAATGAGATTGACTTAGCTCTAAAGAACATCAAGAACAGAAAAGCGGCCGGAGAGGACGGCGTTTTGCCAGAATTCATCAAAAATCTTGGCCCCAAAGGTAGAACTTGGTTAGCAAAACTTTCCACTTCAGTATTAAACACTTGCAAAATCCCTAACGAATGGCATAAATCTAAGGTCATCGCTATCCTTAAGCCAAATAAAGCTGGAGATAACCCAAAGAACTACAGACCTATATCTCTGCTCTCAGTGGTCTACAAAGTTTTCGAGAGATTAGTCTTAAACAGAATCATAAACAAACTTGAAAGTATAATGCCGAAGGAACAAGCCGGCTTTCTGAGAGGAAGAAGCTGTAGTGAGCAAGTTCTGGCAATTACCACTCATGTGGAAAACGGATTCCAACAAAAACTGAAGTCAGGAGCGGTCTTCCTAGACCTATCTTCAGCATATGACTCCGTCTGGAAAAATGGTCTACTTTTTAAATTAGCAAAAGTTATAAATTGCAAGACACTGCTCAGATTGTTTGAGAGACTTTTATCGGATAGAAGCTTCAAGGTTCACCTTGACGGCGAAATAAGTAAAAAGAAGGTTCTCCAAAATGGTCTGCCACAAGGCTCAATACTATCCCCAGTTCTTTTCAACGTTTATACGGCAGACATCGTAAAGACAAATTCTAGAAAATTCATTTACGCAGATGACATCGGTATTGTAAAGCAGGGAAAAACATTCGAAGAAATAGAGAATAATCTTGGCAAAGATCTCGCAAAAATTCAAAAATATTTAAAAACCTGGCATCTCATTCTGAATGCAAGTAAGTCAGCCGCGATCGCCTTTCATTTAAACAACCGCGAAGCAAATTACAAAATCAAGATAAATGTGAATGGAGAATTTATTCCAAATGAAGACTCCCCCAGATACCTAGGAGTAAAGTTGGACAGAGCTCTTACGTTCAAACCTCATCTAGAAGGATTGAAAGACAAATTAAAAACACGGAACAACATAATCTCAAAACTAGCTGGTACAACCTGGGGCTGTAAAGCAAATACTTTACATGCCTCAGCCATGGCACTGGTGTATAGTGCAGCAGAGTACTGTGCGCCGGCTTGGACAAGAAGCGCTCACAGTAAAAAAATCGATACGCAGCTAAATCATACCATGAGAATTATCTCAGGAACAGTAAAAAGTACTCAAATACAATGGCTCCCTGTCCTGGCACACATTGCTCCTCCTGACCTGAGAAGAAAAGCAGCAACCCATTCCTTGTTAAATAAAATAAAACAAAACCCAAACCTCCCAGTATACGAGGACATTTATCAACATCCAGTAAAAAGACTTAAGTCTAGAAGCCCAGTCTGGATCGAACTTGGAACAGAAGTGACCACAGAGGACCAATGGAAAAGCCGCTGGAAGGACGCTGAAGTTAAAAACGCAGAGCTGGTTGTAGACCCGACCCAGAAACTTCCAGGATTTGACTTTCCTCGCGCATTATGGACTGCAATGAATAGAATAAGAACTGCTAATGGTAGATGCAATCACTTACTCCACAAATGGGGCATGAGTGAGTCACCTCTTTGTGACTGTGGAGATATCCAAACAACGAGGCATATAGTCGAGACCTGTCCCTTAACAAAATTTGATGGGGGATTGAGAGGCATACATGAAGGTGGAGAAAACGCGATTGAATGGCTAGAAAATCTAGATATTCGACTATGACACAACTTAACTCAACAGTTACCAAATTCTTAGTTTTTAGTTACCTATTTTTATTTGTTTATTTATTATTATTACTATTGCTATTACTATATATTGTTATTACCATTTGTTTATTTATTTATTTATTTTGTTTTTGTTTAATTTATGCCGAGGCCATATGCTAATAATAATTCTAACATCTCTTTTTGTCCAATTGCTCTTTCATCCGCTTTATGTAAAGTAGTTGAGTCTATCTTCAAAAATAGATTTGATTGGTGGCTCGCATCCAAATGTATACTACCTAACTACTTGTTTGACTTTAGACGTGGTAGAGGAACTATAGACTGCCTTGCCAACTTTGTTGTTAAAAGATTTATCAATCTTTTAACAATAAAGAATTCTTCGTCTCTATCTTTATAGACATTCAAGGTTCTTTTGACTCTGTGCACATTCCCTTACTATTACCTCACCTAGAATCATTAAATCTACCTCCAAATTTCATTAATTTAATCTCTCCTTTTTTCCAATAGGCAATTACATTTTTTCTCCTCCTTCGGATCTTCTACTGTAAGCTCCATTTCGACAGGCCTTCCTCAAGGAAGTTGTTTGAGCCTTATCTTGTTTAACTTGTACATGTGTCTAATTATTGAACACCTTAATGCTTTAGGTCATAACTGTCTTGTTTATGTTGACGATATTGTTATTTTCACTCATGATAGACATTTTGGCATCGCTGTAACATCCATGAGACTAAACATAAACTCACTTTAAGTGTACAAATATGTATAGTATAGTATATGCAATAACACTAACATAATAGTGTAATATTTTTAACAGGATAGGATTAAATCACATTATATTTTTACTGGAGAAAATAATAACGCACATGGAAATAGACTTCGATAAACAATGCAATAACATTATTGAGAATTGTGAACAGATTGAAAACGAAATGGAAAACTTAGAAACCGATTGCAAAAAATTACATCAACGCATTGAGGAATATAGGTATTTTAATATGAAATCTATTGTGTATGTCAAAATAAAAATATACATAATATTAATTTAAAAATTAATGAAGATAATGTAAGATCAAATTATTGATTTATTATCCTAATTGAACCAAATCAATCTAATTATCTTATGTAAAATAAATATTTTGACCTGTAATAACCGAATTGCATTAAAAGATAAATATTTTTCAATATTTTGAAGTATAAAACGTCGTTAGAAATCTGTTTCCAATATTTTTATATATAGAGAAACTCCTTTTAACATCTACTCAAAAAATTGACTTGAATTTAAAATATACCATATCGTCCGATGTCATATTTTCTGGAAGTCCTTTCATTGATATTTCTTCATTTTGTAAGATTGCATATATAGCTTAAATGCATATTAATACCTTATTAAAATTGTTTTTTTCAATCAATGTATGTCACAAGTACGTATTAATTCATATTAACATTTTATTAATATTATTTTGGTTTGGAATGTAAAAATAAAATGTGTGTTAAGACTTCAAAAAATTACAAAGAAAATGAAAATTAATTAAGTTAATGGTTAAAATTTAATTATCGAAAATATTATTACTACATAGTAATATAATTCAATATAAATGTAAAAATGAACAAAAATTGATTTTGTAATAAGTTAAATTTGTAGTAGCTTAAAAATAGATTTTTCCGTTAAAAAAAAAAAGAGGCAATTAGTATAATATTATTTATTCGACGTGAATATTTAACTTTACTTTATATTTTTATATTTACTTTGATGATCTTTATAGATCAAGCATTTTAGAGGCAGGCGTTGATCCATTAACTAAACGTATACCAGCGAGTAAATACAAGAGGTTCGTTAAACAACAATATTTGATGAACGCTACAATAATAAACGGATATAACCTGAAATTAGCCAATGTTGTTAAAGAGAGGAAATTGTCGGAGAAAGTTTTAAAGAAAGTGACTGAACAGGTGAACAATGTGTCCGAAATAGATCAAAAGCACCTTGAGTTGAAATACAATAAACTTTATCACGAAGTAGTGGAAATACATGAATTGGAAAAAACAATGAGAGCTCGAAGAAGTAAGTACCCAAATCCACACATTTTATTACACATGTGTAGAGTTTAAAAAATAATATTTTAATAAATATTCTCAAGCAAACAGTAATGTTAAGATTATTTTTTTTAAATTAATTTAATTGCACAATATGTAACAAATTATAATTCCGATGGAAATAAAACTTTTAACTTTGAACAATATAGTTGTAATTATTTCATGACTACAAACTACATTTTATTTATAAACTGAGATTATGCAATTTTATTTATTTAAATATTAATCATTAATTCGAAAAATTATAAAAGTAATTAATTAAAAACATTTAAATTCATATATTAAAAAATGTAAAATATTTTTAAATAGGGTGATTAAAATTATTTTGTTTAATATTCTGTTATAATTGAATTTAAAATCCCATGAAAAAAAATTTGTTAATAGTAAATATAGTTATAGTATTTAATGTTTTGGGTTACACACTGCAATAATGAAGATTTATTTTGTAATTTTTTTCCCAAGAGTAAGAACCTTTAAACAAGCAAAACTAAATACTAGGTACTAAAAAATAGTTCTATTTAAAACATTTTTATTTTATCACTTAAAAATAACATACATAAAATTATTTTTGTTTCCATTTAATTTTTCGAAAAAATTAAATTACGGAAATAAATCAAGGCTTCATAATGAATTTTTATGGTTAATGGTTTTAGTTTATCTACCATATTATTCGGTTTTAAAAACTGATTAATATTAATCTAATATTTTATAGTTTTTTAAAACCGGTTTTCAATGTAATAAAACCGGTTAATTTTGTTCTTTTAAAAAAATATATTTTTTATAACAATTTTATACCACAGACAAATTATTATCATAATTATGAAATAAATAATTAGAAAATTCATATATCGTGAGATGTTCTTAAAATAAGTTAATAATTTATATATTTATAATATATTTTTTTTTCAGCTTCAGAGGTTGTATATTAATATATAAATATATATTGATATTAATATATATTTAATATATATATATTAATATTATTTCAGAGATCGTATATTAATATACAATAAATAATATGATACACATTTTTAAGTTTTTATTACAATATTGAATATATTAACACACATAATGAACAACATAATTGCAATATTTATTATCGAGTAAGACAAAAAAGAAAAACCATATTAATTCAAAATGTTGAACAAATTTACAAATATTTGATACAATTTAAGAAAACACTATCGTCCATTAAAATCGGTATTGTAACAATAAACAATGTGGTTTATGGTTGTCATTGATCGGGTTCACATATTATCTATAGTAGTGTGGGGTTATGACCAGTAGTCCCACTTACCAACTGTTCAATTTTTATCTTGCTAATTATTTTACATTTATCTAATAATTTATACCTGTCTTTTGTCAAATAAAAGAGGCTGACTAACTTAACAAAATGTGTAAAAACTAAAATTAAATATTAATTATTTTCCGTAATTAAAAATGTAAATTTATTTCCGTTCGAGAACGAAAAATATTTTTCTGGTTAACTATTTCGTTTTCGTTCTATAAAATTAGTAATTGTGGTTCTATTTTTGTTTTCGTTCATACACATTTTTCAATTAAACCGGTTAATAAAAAAAAAACTGTTTTAACCGGTTTGAAGCCCTGAAATAAATTACGGAAATTCAGAAAATTATCCACTTCAATTATCAATTAACAGTACAGTGAAAATAGAAGTAGGAAATTTAAAAAATCAAAAAAAATAATAGTGAAAATAAAACAGAAAATAGTTTAAAATATACCAAATTTACGCATGACGAGATATCTCTAATAATGAATACGCTAAAACAAGGTACATCACCGGGATTCGATTCCATCTCGTCAAACTTACTATTACAAATTTCAAACTATGTAGTAAAGCCACTTACTCATTTAATTAATTTAAATTTTGAAAAAGGTATATTCCCAACCATATATAAAAAAGCTATAATATGCCCTATTTATAAAGCAGGTGATGAAAGAGAACTACATAATTATAGACCAATTTCTTTAATTTCTTCCATAGCTAAAGTTATTGAAAAATGTGCTAAGTGCAACTAAATCGATTCACATCCAATAACAAAACTATAAGTGATAAATAATTTGGATTTAGGGACAATATGGGTTGCCAAGAAGCGATTTCTTATTTTTCGAAGTTAATCTACGAATCTTTAGACAAAGGTAAAAGATGTTTAGGTATATTTTTAGACATAGCCAAAGCTTTTAATTCAATAGAGCACAACTTACTTTTAAAAAAGTTGAAAACAGTATTAGGTAATAGCACCTTATGGTTGTGGTTTAAATCATATCTCTCAAATAGATCCCAAACAACAAGAATTAACGGTGAAACAAGTGATCCGTGTAAAGTTATATATGGTATACCGCAAGGGACGGTGTTAGGTCCGTTACTATTTAACATTTATGTAAACGACTTATTAAATATAGATATAAACAGCAATATACTAGCTTTTGCAGATGATACGGTTTTATTTTTCGAGGGGAAAACTTGGTCGGAAGTGGAAAGCAAAGCAAACGCAGGACTGGTACGGGTTAATAATTGGTACGCCAAAAATAGTTTAATGCTAAATAAAAAAAAGTCAGTATTTATTCCCTTTGCCTTGTCTAGTTATAACAAACCCGAACAAATTAATATTAAATTACATAACAATAACTGTAAAATAAGTAATAATACTGACATATGTAACCCAAACTGTAGATATTTATCTAGAGTTGCTACAGCCAAATATTTAGGTGTAATATATGATGAGCATCTAAAATGGAAACCACAAGTTGAATCAGTAATAAACCGTATAAGGAAATGTTTCTTTATCTTTAAGGAATTACGAAATGTACTTGATACTCCCAGACTGAAAATGATATACTTCGCGTTAGTCCAATCCATATTAATGTACGGTCTGATTGTATGGGGATCAGCTTATAATAATGTATTAAAACCGTTAATGACAACTCAAAGAATGCTAATGTTGCGTGCCGTCGCTCAATCGTATATGATGGTTAAGTTTTTAAAGGATAGACTTCAATAAAACACTCAATTGAAATTTAAACTGTTTATTTAATAATTTTTCTAAGTACAAAACATTAATTTACGAAATAATGTGGCGTGAAGGTGCTTGCGACTGTACATGTAAACCACATCTGAATATTGGTCTATTCCCAACCCCCTTATATACTTAGGTTTGGTGACGATCAAACGTGCCGCGCTGGGCGATAGTTGTTTTTAATTATAATAAATAATTTGTCTCTAATGGCTTTTTATTACCTAGATGACCTTATTCGCACTTATCCCATATTTGCCACGATTTTTCCCAGTTACAATCCTACATATAGCCATGCGATTCACACATAGTAATGTACTGGTTTATCTTCTGGCTTTTAGCTAAAATTCATTTCTATTTTTACGACTGCTAATATTGTGTTAATAATAATTATTTTCTTGATATCTACCGTCACGATTTACATGGTCCCGTCCATGTCGTATAAGTCGTAATATTTATTACATACTACCTGTCTTCGTAATATGTGTTTGCTTACCCTCTGTTTAACTAATAGTTCCTTTCTATTATTATTGCGAATATTATATTACTCTCTAATATTTATAATTTATGTGGACCCGCTCGTACTGTAAGAGTCGTAAGGACCTACATTCATGTATGTCCGCAACACTAATAAGAGTTTAATGAAAAATTATTATATTACTAAAAACATCAATACTAACGATTTATTTGTTAAATTGAAAATATTTACTTTAGAACAATTATATGAACAATTATCAATCATTGAAGTGTTTACTAATAAAACTGATTACAAATATAATAATATATATAAAACGAGAGGAGAGGACAACGGAAATTTAAGATTAATTAAACAAAATACCACATTAATGAAAAATTACTATATAAATAAAGGTATCAAATTGTTTAACCAACTCCCTACAGACATTAAACAAATACATAATAAAAATAAATTTAAATCAGCAATTAAAAATATGTACATGAAATTATTTGATTAGCGTAGTAACTAGTAATGTCTCTTTGTCACTTATACCTTATTTAATCTCTTTTGTTATAGATACTAATAATAAGTTTATGTGTTTATTATGTTAAAATATTAGTTAAGACTATACTATTAATTACGACATAGCACTATAGTAGTAGATTTTATAATATTTCTTTTGTAATATACATATATTACCAATAAGTTATTATTATTATTATTATTATTATTATTATATTTAATTATGCTTATAAAAATGTAATTGTATGAAAAAAATGTAAAAAAAAAAAAAAATGTATTGTATGAAGCTGTTTAACATAACTTATATATACTATTAAGATTTTTTTTTGTAAAAGGCTCCCTACTTCCGCCACAAGCTTCGCTTACAGGGAGTAGGTATCAACTTATATAAATATGTAAATATTACGTGATAATATGCAGTATGTTGTTGTAAGTTGAAATTGAATATATTATTATTATTATTAACTATATATACACAAATATGCTATATTACATTTATTACTCTGTAAAATAAACGTATAGGGCATCACTGCTAAAGCCTAAATTATAGCCACAAAAGTGAGCAACGCAAGTAATTTACCAAATTTTTTGTACAATTATAATTAATTAAAAAAAAATTATTAATATTTTTATCCATTAAAAAATAGTTATTTTATTCATAAGGACCTTTATAAGAAGTACTGCTCGTGAGAATTGTAATCAAGTAGCTTGCTCCTAAACAACCTTACATTCAACTTTCATTTTTATATATTTCGTAGCTAAAGTTCAAGAATATTGCATGTTAAAATCATACAAAATGGAAAAACTTATAGAGAAACTTAATGCAAGCATTATATCAATGGAAGCGGAATTAAAAATAAAAAGTAAAAAAATAAAACCAATATCTCCCATTTATATGGTAAAAATCATAATTTGTTATTATATTAAGTGAAAAATCTCTAAACAGTTCATTCTATTCATATTTTAGTACACGGAAATAACGAATGATGATGGATCTTATAAAAGTTATGCACTTGAAGATAGTAAGTTTACTTCTACACAGTTTTATTAAATATTTATTAAAGCCTAAATATATTTACTTGATAAATTAATAAAAATCTAATTAAAACCAAGAACTACTAAATGGATAATACTCGTAAATTAATATATAGAAAAAAAACACAAAATAGAAAACATTAAGGAAATTAATGCAAGTATCATATCAATGGAAGTAGAAATAAATAGAAACAGTAATGAAACAATCCCAATATTTCCTATTTATAAGGTAAAAACCCATAACATGTTATTATCAGGGCTAGGAAGTTCTAGCAAATGCATATTTTTCTTGGTTCATCCTAGAACATCCAAAGTAAGAGACAAATATGTTTCAAACTACTTGGATATCATACACAAAATCTAATTTTGCTATTTTTTGCATATTTACGGGTTTCATTGCTATTTTGCTAATTTGGGGTTTATAATGCTATTTTTGGGTATATTTTCATATAATACAGGAAGTAATCACATTTTGTTGATATTAATGGTATTAACTTGGTTATATTTTTAAAAATACATGAATTATTGGAAATAAATAGACCTCGTCAATTATTATTTTATGTTTTTATCGACAATTTGATGTATTAATAGTTAGTGACATCATTGTTATTCCTTTATTGTATTATTACATTAGATTATTAAACACTTTTACAATCCAGAATAATTTCCAAGATAAATATATAAAATAATTTAATAATAAGAACATTTTTATAAATATATTTAAGTAATTTAACATTTTTGTTAACAGTTTATAATTCAATCAGTCCAAAATGTGTCTATGAGTTAAAAACTTTGTAAAATTACATTTTTTTTCTAATAAACTTATAATTTTTTAAAGTTAAATGCATATTTTTTGATTTTTCGTGCTATTTATAGCGCAAATTTTAGAGCTTTGAAGTGCATATTTAAGAGCTAAAAAGTAACATTTTTAGTGCTACAACTTCCGAGCCCTGGTTATTATATTAAGTGAAAATTCTTTAAACAGCTCATTCTATTCATATTTTAGTACATGGAAACAACGACTGATGATGAATCTCATAAAAGTGATGCACTTTTAGACAGTAAGTATACTTCTATTTATATTTATTAAATATTCATTATTGCCTAAATATATTTACTTAATAAAATAATAAAAAAATTAGTTAAAACTAAGAGCTCAGTTCGGTGTTGTACCTCTGCGTGAATACACGTCTGTCGTTATACACGTTCCGTTATCTCGATTCCACTATTTCGTAGACCGCTATCCTATTAAAGTGCGCTCCACGGTTATAAAGAGCGTGTGGCTATGTCGACCCCATGTGTCAATGATAAGAGTCGCAGTGCGTCTTATTCTTGTTCCCCTTCTCTGTCTAAACAAAAATCCACTAAACTTTTATTGTCGTCTTCTTCAAACTCACCAACGACTCCAGCTCATTTGGGAAATAAAGAACTAAAAGTTTTTGTTTAACAAATCGTTATGCTATTTTAGCGACCGAGGATGACAATGTTGAACCAACTGTAATTTTAACCAACATGGTTATTGACAGCGAGCAACTCATTCCACTTGAGGGAAAAATAAATTCCAACGCTCGGGCTCCACCAATCTACATTAAAAATACTTCTATAGTTAATTTTTCAGCTCTCAAAAATACGCTTATACGACTCACTAGTGTAAATGGTTTCTCTTGTAAGTCAAATTTTTTATTTTTAATTATTCGTCCAAATGGAGCTTCGAACATCAATGCCATCGAACATCTGGCAAGTTCGAATGCTTGCTATTACACATTTACCCCTCCACCACTTCGGAATTATAGTTTTTATCAGAAATCTTCACCATACTACTCTCATCACGGATATCTCAGAAGTTCTGGATGACCTAGGCTTCTGTGTTAGACGAGTTGAAAACGTTCCAAAGAATGGTCTCCCGTTAACTCTTTTCTTTGTAGACCTAACTCAAAACGACAATAATTATGAAATTTTTAAACGGTTTTTATTATTATTAAGCCAAGAATTGACCACCCCAGTGTCATACCTGCCAGAATTATGGGCACACAAAAAATTATTGTGGTCGTTTCCCTCGTTGCGTCAAGCGTGGGGAGAATCATAACTCCGAAGATTGTACCAAAGATAAAAACAGTCCACCTAAATGCGCTCTTTGCCAGGGTGCCCACACCACTAACCTCAAAGGCTGCCCTGTTTTTAAATCCCTATCAAAACGCCCCAAAGTAAATAGAAAGACCCCTATAATAGCTCCAGCAACTACTGTTCTAGGATCATTTTCAAAATTGAGGACTAAATCAATCATAGGACAAATCCTATGCCGAAGCAGTTAATTCTGATATTTCTCCGGTTGAAACCATCTCGTCCATTTTATCTAATTTCATAAATAATTTAAATTCACTAATTAGACCGTTAATCTCCCTCCTTACGGAGGTCGTACTAAAATGGTTCTCTCCTTAATTGTATTTTTATTATATCATAACTACTTAATCTCACCTATTATTGCACTTAATTATCATAAATCATTTATTTATGTTATTACTTAATCTTCATACACGTTATCCGTTTGTTTTGTGCACTAATTATTATTTTATTTATATTGTATTCATAATTATCTTTTACTGCTATATATTACATGACTAGAAATTGTCTTTATTATTATTTGTATCAGTAGTATATTCTGTTCCGCTGTTGTTTTCTTTTGTTATATTTAAATCATGTACTTACTTAACTGCTGTGGTATATACTATTTTATTAATATGTAATTGTTGAACTATAATAGTTTACGCTGAAAGTTTTTTAAAAAAAAAAAAAAAAATTAAGAGCTATTCAATTTTTAACCACCGTAAATTAATATATAAATAAAATCCAAAATAGAAAAGAACATGAAGGTATTTAATACAAGAAATATATCAATGGAAGCAGAAATAAAAAAATATAGTAAAGAAGTAAAAACAATATTTCCTATTTTTAAGGTAAAAATCATAAAATGTTATTACATTAAATAAAAATTCTTTAAACAATTTATTCTATTCATATTGTAGTATACAAAAATGACGATTGATGATGAATCTTTTAAAAGTGATGCATATGAAAAAAGTAAGTATACTGCTACACATTTTTATTAAATATTAATAAATAATAAACTTGAGTCACGATTTAATTTAACTTGTAAATACCTGACGATGAATTTTTAATTTGAAACTGGTTGTATCATACTCATATAGCTTTTGAAAAACATCATAAAAAATATTATAATAATAGAAAAAATTAACTTGAACTGAATGTAAACGTGTACGAGTTAAATTTTTAACTGAACGTTCTTAAGAGGCATGAGGAATAAACTCAGAAAGAGTTTCCATTGTTTCCAAATATCTATCTCTACTTATATACTATAAACACATTAATATTCAAGAGTTGGTAAGGACAAAGAACACAAGTCTGTAAAAACTAAAAAAATAATTGAGATTTATTTACTTAATAATCAATACGTTAACGATTATCTTTCAATCAGAAATAATGACGCGTGTTTCAAGGCTTGAAAATAACATTAATATGGTTGTGTGCTCGATATGATTATCTAGTATTTTCAACTATTTTTCAAACGTGTCAAGTAAAAGCTGATATTTTAAAAGGCAAACCATGTTCATTCAAACAATTATTTTTATTTGGAAAATTTATTTTAATACTTGAACAGTATTCCTAGAACATTTCTACCACAATTTTTCATTATGTATTGTAAAAAATTTATTTTTCTCAATAATTCCATTTTTATCAATTTCAGAGGCAATGCAAGTAATTGATCGACTTAAATCTGACAACACATTATTTGGAAAATAACACTGCCTATTAAAAAACAAAAATGATCACCAAAAACCACTTAGACTATTATTGGTTACAAAACTGAACAAGAAATAAAAACAGTACAAATATTAAATCCTTCGATTGTACAGAAATTTAAAATAAAATCTTTTTTTTATCTATACATTTATATTAATATACCTGTATAAACCACTTTTTAAAAATTAAAGAATTAATTTGTGTGTGATTATTAACAGAAGTATTATTTTGGTATCGATTAACTAACTTCGAGCCAAATACAAATTCAAATAAACTGGATTCCGCGAGGAATATGATTTATCTACTTCCTTATCCCATAAGTACTTTGAGCCTTTTTGATTTTGATTAATTTTGCCAAATGTATCCTTTGGTGTGATTTTGATTGACCCTCGTCTTATCTAAATAGATAACGGGCCGAGTATCATTATTTTGGCGAAGGTTAACTGCAGTAAGTACACTAACATTTTACACGCATAGCAACTATGTCATTCCGCTCTATTAAGAACCAATGCTCGTCCTTGCATTTTTTGTACTTAAAGTTAAGATTTTTCAAAATATGGCACATGAAAGTAACAGAACCTTTGTATTTCGGTTCTTTTTGATAATCTGCTAGAATTTTTGATGTAGTAGGGTACTCTCCTTTATAGTACATTTCGTGAAGGATTCTTCTTACAATATCTGCATCAAGACCATCAATTTCACTCGTAATTTTTGCTCTTTTGTATGTTTTTCGAGAAGAAGTGAACGTTGAAAAATCACCCTAGATTATAGAAGATGATTTATTTCCTTCAGCAGTGATACTTTTCATTGTTTTTTCGTTTACACAACATACTTCGGCAGTTTTTGCTTGTGTCTGTTTAAAAAAGTGTTATCTCCGTATAGACGAATCCATTGATAATTTTTTGAAATATTTATACACATTGTAAATTGTATATTTTGTTTGTGAATGTGTATCAAACTTTAAAGACATTTTTTTTAAAAAAATAATAAAATTTTCGACAGTGTTTAAATAATAATAATAATAATAAGTTCGCGAATATGATATCACTACGTACGTTTCATATTGGAAGTTTCACCAGTTGATTTATCAAGCTTTTTAAGTATTATTTTTCAACGAACTTTTGGTAGCATTTACATTACAATATTTAAATACTAAAAATGAACGAGAATGCAACTGAAACGGACGATGACCGAGGATAAATTAAATATATCGACTTTGAAAAGTTTGATAGATTCTTAAACTTGCTTGTTGTTGAATTCATTTTTTCTACACAAGTACGCCATAAACTCTGTAGGTATAGACTATCATAAAGCCAATATTCACCACATGAAAAACAGAACAGTGGTTTAACGTATGTATCAGCATAAGAAATTGGTATCTAAGTCATAATACGTTACACTAAAATTCTAAATACATCGATCATTTCAAATCGTTAAAAACAACCAACTGTCATATTTAGGGCCAGAACTTAATGTATTTACATATTTTTTTCTAATGCTTACATTCAATGCTCGTCTATACAGAAATTTGATTTATGAAGTTGTTGCGTTCTGTGTAGTCACATAATAAAATACATCACAAAGAGGTTCCCATGAACATCTAAAACTACAACTGTGGATAAGTTAGACTAACCCTAGATTACGAGATATTTGACAAATTAAATGTATTAAATACAAAATAATTGGATTAATTAAAGTATACACATTATCACACAAAAGTCACACACCTATATATAATTAAACAAGGAGACAAATTAATAATTATTAGGATAACACACAAAATATCACATAACATTATTCAATAAGGAACAATTTTATTGATTAAACACACCCATAATTTAAAGATTATTAATTAAAGAGATAAATTAAATAAATTATATTTAACTAGCTGTCCCGACACGGCGTTGCCCGCGTATTAGTTGGTTTTTTGGCATTTTCGTAGGCCATGTATTAGTGTTATTATGTATGAGAACATTTAAAAGTAATAGGTTAAGTATCTAAATGTTGAAATTAAGTACAAACCAACATATATATTTTCTGAATTTACGTCGTACCGAACTTCGCATTTTATACCTTTGAACATTTCTCGAAAATTCTATAACTTTCTTCATTACAACAATTGCAATGCAAAAAATAATATTGAGATAAAAACCATAGGTTAGGTTAGTTATATAATTCTCGGAACAATTCATATCTACACGCCGACGACGATAAAACACACACAATAGAAAAAAGGTCAGATTACAGTAGCTATATAGATACTTGCGGTCGGTCACGGGAAAACCCGAAATACACCATGCAATTATACACATTTATTAAAAAGTTAATTAAAATATTTAAAATATTAAAAAATTTGAAAAAAAAACTATCCTATATTTTAAGTTGGACCAAATTACACACGGTGTAAAAAATTTCATCAAAATCGGTCCAGTAGTTTCGGAGATTATCGCGAACATACATCGTGACACGAAATTTTTATATATACAGATTGGTTCACATAATCATTTTATGGGAATTGAAATAAAATAGTTAATCGAAACAATAGTGACCACATCCTGGATCTCTGCGTCAATAATTATGGCCTGGTCGGTAGATAACCCACACACACTCAGAATCAATAAAGAAATATCTTATTTTATTAACAGTTTTCATATACACGCACACACTTGGGATTTACACACACACTTGCATATATCAGATATAAAAGGGACCCGAAAACAAGGACAAATCAGACGAGTTTTGGCTATGCTGCACTGAGCACCTTCACGTCAGTGTATGTCATGGTCCGGACTTAGAAATATTTCAAACTATTTTTATAAATTACAATTGTTAGGACTTAGAATAATTTCTATAATCCAAATTATTTGGACTTAGAATATTTACAAATTGTAGTTAGAATAATTTTATCAGTTAATAAATTAAATTACTAGTCTTAATTATATAATATGCATATATTATTGAGAAATAATAATACGCATATTCCTGAGTCGTATAAGGAAAAACGTACTATTGCACAACCTTAATGGGCGCCACGCGCGAATTTTAAACAACCACAACAACATCATCATTCGAATAAGACAATCAAGACCAAGGGCAACCACGTGATGAAACATCACTTGGATATGAAGATCAAGACCAAGGACAGCCACGTGTCGAAAACAACACAATTAAAACAGAATCAACAGAGTATATAAAGGCTCCGTTTCAACACCAACGGCAGACGTGTCCAGCTATCAGACCAAGCCCTTCTGAGTTTCGTCTTCGATATTGTTAGTGCACGAATTTATAATTTATATTTGTATCTATGTCTGTTTCTGTAATTGTATTTATTAAAGTGTTTACAAGTGTTTGAAATAATTGTTTAATCAAATTTATCCCGATCCAACAACATCATTACGATAGGTACCTGTTTTTATTGGGTACCACGTAACAATTATTCTTCACTACACCTACATCCAAGCGTTGACTGAGACATTACCACTGAAATCACGGATCAAACGGTTGGCACTGTTATGGGCTACCACAAAAACATGTATAAATAAAATTGTGCGTAACACAATATCACAGGTGTTACTCACCTATATTTGATCATAGACTATCTATAATCATTAATCATTAATTTAAAATATTATAAGATTAATATATATTCTTAGAAACACCTACATTTAATAGGTTGGCCATAAACCAATAATATATATAATATATATATATATATATATATATATATATTAAAAGATTAATATATATTCCTAGAAACACCTACATTTAATAAGACCAGTAATATATATTAAAATATGTAATCTATAAAATAATAAAGTAGGTCAAACGAACGTGGCCTATTGCTAAATAAGGAATTATGCCGAAACAATAAGTCCAATGACGTCAATCAATCCATATAAAAGAGGGACCAAAATGACCACAATTCAGATGAGTTTTAGTCACGGAACTACAAGCTACTTCACGTCACTTTGTATTAGAATTTTGTTAACACTTTGAGTATTAAAATAAATATATTAATGTATTAAAAGTCTCATGTTTATTTAAATTAAATACATCTTTGACTTGCAACACTTGAAATCGAGCCGGTGGCACGTAACAATTGGCGCTGTGGACAGGGTTCTTCAAAAAGAAAAATATTTATAATATTTTTTTTAAAAATATATAATATTTTTCCACGGAGGCAGTTCAATTCATTTCGAATCACCGAGAGAAGAAACTGATCACTTTTTCTCCAACTCCGAAGAAAGAATATACACTCCATTGTGCAACATTTCAAGCGAAACAGTCAACGTTTTCTTTTGGATCGTCCAACTCCGCCTTGTTGTAAGAATTATTATGAATATTATTATTGAAGTATTTTATTGGGATTATTATTGAAGTTTATATTTGCGAATTATTGAGATTTATTATTGAAGTTATATTTGAGATTTATTGAATTATTATTGGGATTTATTGAGATTTATTATTGAAGTTATATTGAAAAATTATTGGGATTTATTATTGAGTATTATTGTGAATTATTGAGAATTATTATTGTGGATATATATTGAGAATTTTTGTTGAGATTATTATTGAATTATTATTGAAGTTATTGTAGTAAGCCCAAGGCTAGGCGTATTTTATAATCAGCATTTAATTAATTAATATCTAATAATCAAAAATAACTTATTACGCATATTAATAAATTCGCCAAGGTCCAGCTAAATTTAATAATCAAAATGATATTTTGATTATTTAATAGATTAAAATAGTATATGTGTAAAATAGATAATATATTAAATTCGCATATACGCAGGAAAACCAGGGTAAAGGTGAAAACAACAAGTAGTTTCACGTTTTTACATAATAATGCTAAATAGAGGGCAAAATAAAGTAATATTAGAATTAGGCCACTCTTACGTCATTGGAACCTGTATAAATACGGGTTGAGCATTTTGCATTATTCAGATGTAGATAGGTAGTTAGACTGATCATTTCCCCTGTTAAATAAATTATTGCTCGTCGTGGACTTTGTTACAGCCACATCGCCGCGAGTATATAATTCTTAGCCCAGAATAACTTGTTATTTAATTTTTTTGTGTTTTAACTGTTTGTTAATTTATTATGATAAATTAATAAAACCAGTAAGTTTATAAGTTTAATG